CTGCCGTTGCGAGAAGACGGTGCCCTCAACAAGACGCATCCATTTGGGTGTGGCTCAAAATTCAAGACCTAGGGTTACGCAGGTTTTAGTCTACTTTTCCATTTACCAGGGTTCCATTCGGGTGAGCATTTTTGACCCACAACCATTTTGGGTTCTATGCAACCCCCCTTTGTGCAGCAGTCTCAAGAACTGCGTGGCCCTTTGCCCATACAAATTCCAGGTCGGGGTTGAAAGGATCGGAAGGGTAGGAAGCCAACCTGTTTTTTTGTGGCTTACCCGTGGTTTTTCAAAAGCAACCCGTATTTGTTTGCCCTCCCCAAGTTGCCATATGACTGTGCCCTGGTTTTGGGCCTAATGATCCTCGCAACTCCTGGGTTATCACAAGGCTCCGGCCCTGTCCCTGCCACGGACACGAGGGAAGGATTTAAAGCCAGGGCCAGGGGTGTCGTGTTTGGTTGTTGGACTTAGACGCGGCCTTTGGCCTTTCAAGACGCAACTCCTCAACCATGGGCTCCAGGCCGCATTTTTTCCGGTGCCAACCACAAGGATCTTGTACTGAGTTTCAGAGGTTTTTTTGGGGCAGCCTGGCTGGCTCGGGATGAAGGGGGAGCATTAGCCTCTTGGTTTTCCACATGAGGTACGACCTGGGCCCTGGACAGTCGCGAACACCCCATTGCTTGGTGTTCAAGAGGAAGCCAAGATGGAACCGATTTTGCTGACCCCCTTTGGGCTGGTGAGTAAAAAGGACAATCAAAATGAGACAGTTAAGACAATCCAATTTTTGGGGAGGCCCATCCGTGTTTGCGAGGAAAAATCCACACAAAACGAGGTGTGGCAGCATAAAATACATTTACGTTATCCCCAAAATGGTGGGCAGCGAGCCTCAAAAAGACACAAACGCCCAATTTCTTAACATAGAGTCTATGTCATAGACCCCTGAAATGACTTCTTTCGTATTCAATTCCCCTTGAACGCCATCCAAGAGGGGTCCTTCTTGCTGCTTGGTTGCTATGAAACACGGCTTGCACTTTGACATGGATCTCAAGCGGTTTGTTTATTCCCCACAACCCCTGAGCCTGAAACCATTGGGCGTCCCCAACCCCCTGCAACCATTTGAGAAACCCCATGGTTTGAACAACCCTTGTTCGACTTCCGAATGCGCGTCGGACTCTTCGCAGGTGGGCGAGGAGTTCACGCAGTGCATCATCAACGCGTCTTGGCTGCTATTAGGTTGAATCTTTAGATTTTAACCTTGTGGAAAAATGGAGGGGTTTTCCACTAAAACCCCAACAGGGTATTATATAAAAAAAGAAGGTAAATAAAAAATCAAGTTTTAAACCAATAAAAAGTTTCAAAAGAAAAACACTTTTTGCAGGGGGGGTCGTTCCAAGGAGTATGGGCCGACGGATGCCATCCCCTGGCACCTGGACGACCTCGCCTTCGGCGGCCTGAAAAAAATCCGTCAGCTGGAAATGGGCCATGGTGTCAGACACTTCTTGGGGACGAGGTGTCACAACTCAAAACCAACCCAAAGTTCTCAGCAGAGGGAATGCCATTCCCCCATCAACAAGAAACCATGGTTTCCACAAAAGCCTTCAAAACCAACCCAAGGGGTAAGTTATTCAAGTCTGCATGGGAATGGCTTGAAAAGACGCCTGTGGTGTTGTTGGTTTCCCTTCAAAGCCAAGCAAAAAGGGGTACCAACTCGAAAGGCAAATCCCCAGATGTGGCGCGCGCCCGAAGCAATCGCGAGGTTGACCCCTATCAAGTTCTCAGCAGGGAATGAGGGAATGCCCCCCATGAACACTAAACAATGGCTTCCTTGAGGGAAACCATGGGTTCATTCCACAAAACCCTGGGTCATTCCCTACCGAGCTATGGAGAAATTCATGTGTTGGCGCCTGAAGCCAGCCTGTTTTCATTGCGGCAAATCGCACTTATGGCATCTTTTTGTTCAGATCTTGCCTTTCAAGTTGACCTTTTTCTGTCTGCATTAAAAAAAAAAAAAAAAACAGGCGGAATGTGGTGTGGACGCCAGTCTTTTGCTGGTTTCCCCAAAGGAGCCCTACCTTTGCTCAAACCTGTTGACATGTGTTTTGGAATTTCGGTCCATGCTTAAGTCTGTTTAGTCAAGATTCCAAAGCTTAAACATGTATTGTCAAGGCCTTTGGGCAGTGCGTGAAGACATCCAGGAACCAAAGAACGGCTGCAGGCCGCACCTGGCACGTGGTTCGGAGCATGAGTTGTTCAAACCAGCTTTCCTCTCTGGCTGACCAGCGAAGGGTTCCCTTTTCCTTCCCGCGGCCAATTGCTTTGGGCCCCGACATGTTTGGAAGCAGTTGCAGAACTTCAACTTGGCCTTGGGAGGAGCAACTCGGGGGTCCGCAATATCTCTCAGGAGAACCTGAGCTGGAAGAACACTGGTTTTAGCCTTGTATGGGGTGCCGGTTCCTTTCGACCTGCGTGAGACGTGGGATAAAAAAACAGATCGCACCACATCATCCGCTATTTCGATCATGCCACTCCGGCCTTTCCGAACCCAACCGCCGGTCGCGTCCGGTCACGTCCGCTTTGGCTAGGCCCGGAGATCCAAGTCTTCGTCTTTGGGGACCCCCGCCCCCTGCTGCTGCGACCGACGCCGCCGAATGCTTCGCCGGAAGCGTCGAGTCTGGAGCTGACTATGGGCCACCTCTGGCGTCTCAGAGCGAACCGAAATCTTTTTCTTCAGGGTTGTGGGATCACTCAGGGTTGATCCCACCAGACCTGTGATACTTTTGGGAATCCCCTCTTTAAATGGGGGGTATGTGTTGTATGACCATTTCCCACAGCCCTGTTTTCCTTCAAATGGAGCGTTGCTATGCGTATTTACAGCCCCAGGCGTGTTTCAAGTACGGGCCCCGTAGTAAAACCTGATATGGTTGCCTTGGTTCTCAGAGTGTAGGGACGTGCCCGGGCATGGGGAGCAGGCAGGGGTTCAAGCTTAGGGTCTTAGGGGTTTAGGTTGGGGGCTCAGGTTTCGGGTTCAGGTTTCGGTTAAGGGCTCAGATTTTGGTTAGGTTTAGGGTGAGGTTTGTGGTTCAAGTTTAGGTGTAGGGTGGGCTTAGGTTTAAGGTTTGGGGGTTCGGGTTTGGGGTTCGGGTTTGGGCTTAGCTTATGGGTTTAGGGTTAGGTTTACGGTTCAAGGTTAAAATTTAAGATGTAGGGTTTAGGTGTGCGGTTTGCAGGGCTGGTTCGGCGCCGGCAACCCACAGCGGCTGGCCGTACCCTTAGGGTGGTCTTCATTCTGGTGCCGAAACAGAGAATCGAGAGAGCTCCTTAGCTTCCGCCAAAGTGCCACATGCCTTTTCCACATGTCCTCCAAAGAGGGAACTGGCTGGATTTGCGTTGTTCCTAGGTCCCCCTGTAGCACCCTTTTACCCTTTCTTTTTTGGGGGAGGGTTCCCCTACTCAAATAGACTACCGAAAAAAATATATGAAAAAACAAGTGAGTACCCTTGCCCCTTTACCCTTTTTTTGGGGAGGGTTCCCTGGAGGACCTATAGGTTCACTTTTGCCCGAGTCGCTCGCGAGGTCCTACCGCTTCACCGGCCCGGCGCGCTTCGCTTGGCAGCACGCGGTGCCGCAGGGGGCGGCCAGGCGCTGGAGCCTCACCTTCCGGAGCCTCGCGGAGGGCGGCCGCGCGGCGGCCGCGGACGCGACGGACCGCGCCGGGGGGCAAAAGGGGCGAGCCGTGCGCCTGGCAGACCAAAGACTTGGCTTGGGCTGGTTTAGCGGGTAAAACGGAGCGGCGCAGGAGCTGGAGGCCAAAAGCGTCGGGAAACGGACAATTTTCGGGTGCAAAACGTCATGGGGTTTGAGGTGGCCACTTTCTATGAGAATTGCCCTGAAGAGAGGCTTTGGAAGTGATGTTTGGCTCTGTCTAGGTTTTCCAGTAGTGCCCTTTTACCCCTTTTTTGGGAGGGTTCCTGTACTAAAAAAGACCCTCTACTGGAGGACCTAGCTGTACTTCCGGGAAGATCAAGTCATTGGCCCATCAGTTTTGGCTGTTGCCACCGGGCGGTCAAGATTGGTGCCGAAGCACCTGCTTGGCCTGTTTGGGATGGTTTGACAGGGAAACTGGACGAGTTCTCCATATTTTTGAGAACACAGGCTGACCTCCGGGAGATTGTCAACTTTTTTGTTTGGTTAACTTTTAGCTTTAAATTCGGAAACCCAACCACTAAACCAACCAAAAAGCTAAAAGCAAAGGAAACAGATGGCTGGGAGCCACCAAATGATGTGTGTTTTGTTTCCAGGATTGTACGTGGAACACTCAACCAACCAGCCACAAAGAGGGCGCCGTCCAAACACAAAGAGGCGCAGTCACACATGTTCGGGATCCCGATGGTGAGTTTCTGGCATGGCGCAAGTGTGGACATTAAAGCTGCCCCGAATGGGAAGGGGGACCTCAAGAGTGCATAGAAGCGTTTTCCAGGTCCCCCACCCCCTTATGAGTGGGGGATGAGAAGGGGGTGTGCCACCGACCCCGGTCAACAACATATGCTTTGTTTTTGTTTGTCTTTTCTTTTTCTAGTGGTCTGCACATGGGCCAAACCACAAAGAAATTTAGTCCCCACCGTTGGACCTGTTGCGGATGTTGTTTGCGGTCACACCGTTCTTGCCTCGCTGAATTAACCTGTCCCCAAGCTTCCGAAACAGAGACTTGAGGCCTCAACAAGGGTCCTTCCCAATCCTGGTAGCTACGAACCTCGACAGAGGATAGGGCTTTGGCCTCTCCCCCCGCTGCTTGTATGAGAGGCACCTAGAACCTGACAAAAATTATTGTGCCAGGAGACTTTCGGGCCTCCAGAGCCCGAGCTCCAACGCCCTCCCCCCCCAAATCGAGCTCACATATTTTTTCGGAGACCCGATGCGAAGCGTTTGAACAATGAGTGCAGGGGGCCGCAGCCTAAAAGGCGGGTGGTTGGGCTTGAGATCCAAAACTGTGCTCATCGACTTAGGCCTTTGGGCTGGCAAGAGATGCCCGAGTATGCTCATATGCTCAGCAGCGCCAAGAATCAGGCGCCAGTCGATTCAATGTTCCTGTTCGGACGTGAGGAACGGTCAGGGTCATCTACAGCCAGATGGGGCGCACTCACCGGGAAATGGCAGGCTCATCAAATTTCCGTGTTCACACGAGAATCGATGGCTCACTTCCAAAGTCCCAAATATAGCAGCCAATGAGAATTCAACACGCCAGTTTTCTGCGCAAGTTGATCGAATCCACCTACCTTCTCGACCTTTTCAGCTTGTAAGCCCTCGGCTTACGCAGAACCTGGCAACAACCTGCAACCTGCCCGCTTGGAGGGGCTCCGGGTGATGTCCTGGACTTTAGGCACAAAGCATCTGCCCAAGTATGACTCAGCAGCGCCACTTGTGCATCACAACTTGAGAGCCGAGGAGCTGACATGCACAAAAATTGGAAACAGTGCCAGCTTTTCGCTTCAAAACTGGCAGGCGAGAGTGAGGGCCAACCCTGATTAAATCCGCCAAGGGCGACCTGTACACCGCGCCATGGCAGCCTTGCCAAATTGTACACCTCCATCACCAGGCTCTACAAGGGGCAGCATTTGCTCTGATCACACGCCCGCGGCGGCTTGAAATCAGCAACCCCGGATTCCGGATTCCAAAAGCGGCAAGCTCCATCTCTCCAATTTCCGACCTTGCCCACCTTCGCTGGCAACATGCCGCGCCCGGTTGAAAGCCACCGCGGATCGGGACCAGGCGCCTGCAGGCAAGATATCCGTGCCGCAGGACTCCTCAAAACAGATCCTGAGACCTGCTTGGGACTCACCGCCCAGCCTTGTCTGCTACATCCACCATGTTGATGGCTGCGATTCGCCACTTCCCGGCACGAGATGAATCCTCAGGACGGAGGACCTGTGCCTGGGTCCTCCAGGTGCATAGGGCGGGTCACTCCGCCGTGAGAGGCTCCCATGGCTGAAACGTGGGACACGGTAAAGATGCTCAATCGAAGTTGAGCGGTCTCAACGGAACCCAGATCAGTAAGAGTGCTGGCTTGTTCCCATGGTAGACAGGTTGAAGGCTTTGATTCTCTGTTCTGGAGGCATAGTGAATGCTGAGTGCTCGGCCTTGGAGCAGGGTTGACACAAGAATATTGGGAAGCTGACTGAATCCACCCCATCTGCAGGAATGTACAAAGATAACCATTGGCGGACCATCATGTTTCAGCTGTGTTGCTCTGTTTGAAGCAGGCCGAACTGACTCAATGTCCATTATTGATTATATCTACAAGTGGCTAAGTTCAGTTCTCCCCTTTTCCCTTCCTTTGGACTGTCACCAGGTCCAAGTTTGCAAGCCCATTAAGAGGGTACGTGGGGTACATTATCGGAACACTTGGGCTAGCACGGTCCTTCAAGAAGGAGTGCGTTGTTTATTAATCCACCGGGGGCAAGAGGCACGCCGCCAGCCCTCCTGCGGGTCGAACGGCAAGCCCGGCTTTGAGGCCAGAAAACTTCATCCCGGCAGAGGAATCCGACCTCCTCAACCTCGATTCTCTCCTGTGAAAGACTTCCCATGCCCAAGACTGATCCAAAAACAAGGGCTTCGTCAGACACCGGGCCCCCGGATGTTTCTTTCCTCGCGCCCAGGCGCGTCGTGCGGCGAACACTGAATCGAGGATGCCCCTCAGCTGGGTGTCGGCTTCGAGTCCGGACTGTCGACCCCAGATGAATCAACCCCTGTTTCTTAGATTCGGGGTTGTTCCCCTCCGGAAGTGGTCTGAAATCCCCGTTCAACCCATGAACACTCCCTCATGAATAAGTCCGGGGTTGATGAATTTGGGGGCAACATTATGGCCTATCTCGGAGGGCTTCCAGTTGCCAATGTTGATGGTGCAACTCGCCCGTTTGGGTTTTTGTCGTCTCCCTCCTTTACTGCCCACAAAAGGGGAATTGGGACATGGGGCACTCACTCGAAAGTTCTTTCACAACCATTGTTTTTCGTGTCCTTAGGGAACCTTGGATTTTTTTTGTCCGTGGCTTATGGTTGCGAGTGCCACAACTTGCGTGGGCGCCCTTCCATTGCCAACGAGTTCCAACATGGGTGATTAGCAGTTGAACCTAGCAGTATTGCCTTGCCTGCATTCAAAGTTTTTAAGCAGCTTCAACTGTGCGATTGTCTGACAAGATGCCTCTGCACTTGGAATGCACCCACCTGGAACCCCCACTGCTGCGGTTATGTGTAAAGGCAAAGGAGAGGGTCGAATTATCAACAGGGCGACCAGGTGTTTCGACTTTTGACGGCCATGTCAGGCCTGCTCAAAGGCAATCTGAATCCTTCTTGGATCGGCTGACCAGCTCGAGGTGACTTGAACGGTCCCATAGTTTTGAGGGAACCAGCTACCCTCTCTCCCACATTTTGCATTTGTTTGAAGGAACATGAGGGAACCATTTATTTCAGGTTAGTTGAAAGGGGGAAACCAAACTTCATTTTGTGGGGGTCCCTATTTTGATACACATCGACAATGGTTCAGTGCCCAGAATATGGTTTAGTGCTGTAGTGCCCTGGGTTGTTGGAAGACATTTGTTCTTTTTTTGGGGAAAGGGGAAACGTCCCACACCCCACACCCCCCCGGGTTTGTTTGAACATACCCATGCAGGGTTTAGCAGCATTTTGTTCATCATCTTTGGTAGCCTGGAAGAGGATCCCTCCCGATTCATTCCCCAAAACCGCATGAGTTTCCTTGCTGAGAACCAGGTACAACCACTCTACAACCACTATAGCCCCACTATGATATGCATATTACAGCTGTGGCTCGATAAACCGGTACCAAAATGGAACCCCGGTAAGTGGAAACATGGACCAAAACCTGCGGTTTGCCCCTGCTGCTTCATTTTGAGCCACAGCTATATATGTCCAAATGTCTTGCGGGGTGCTTTGGGGTACACCCTCGACGTCAGGTTGACGGCCACCCAGGACCGACCAAGCGATAGACTAGATGGCGCGATAGGGAATGAATGAGTCCGGGTGTTGGGAATGAAACGTTTGAGACATGTGCTTGAAGGAAACCATAGGAAACGGATGGTTTATAGGGGTCATTTTTGCGATTTTTCATTCCCTGCAGGCGGACTTCGAAAAGGCTTGCGATTCTTGCTGGGCAACTGGGCTCATGTTTACCTTGGAATATTGGGGAATGCGTCCATGTTGCTCGAAAAAAATAAAGACACCCCCCTATGCAGGGTTTGTACACTCATAGAGGCTCCCACTTTAGTTTCTTCACAAACAAAGCGGCAGGACAAGGCAAACCTGTTGAAATATCCACCTACTCCTGAAGCCCTGGCACCATGCCCAAACCATGTATCTCGTGTAGGCAGGGGCAGCGACATGCACACAAGGCATTGCCGCCCCGCCGCTTGAAAGTAAAAAGCTACGACGGTTTCCGCTATCTCCAAACCCCTACCCTTGATAATGAGCCCTAGCGTGTTTGTAGTTATTCAACTCATCGCGTGTCCCACTGAAGCCATCTTTGTTGAACACTCATTGGTAGAGTAATTAGTTCGGAGGGGGGACTCGTTGCCCGTCTCCAGAATCGATCGTCAGGCTTACGCGCCGAGGCATCATTGCGACTTTGTTGGGGGATGTTGGCGATACCCAAATATTTGTTGGCTTCTGCTTTGCGCAATGCAACCACCTGGCTAAGCGCTAGGATTATTCTGGTCAAATTATACCGAGCTCACCGGGGGTAAACCGACCCATGAGGAAGGTCCCCTACTTGCGGGTTCCCTTTTTTCCAATTTGTGAATTACACTTCGCCCGGCAGGTTGACCCCCCCCCAAAGTCAAGCCCCACAGGGGCCCGGGCGGGGTAATGGTCTACCTCTGATTAATTAATAACCCCCCCCCCCCTCAAACAACTTCCCCCCCTAAATAGTGTTCTGAACTTGATTATGAATTGCTAAGTATTGCACACATATTTTTGTGTTTCAATTGATTTAGTATTGCTGGAGCCTCCTTTTGAGTGAGATTGGATTCGGGGTTCCAATTGGTTTAGTATTGGTGGATTTGAGTTTTTAATTGATTTCGTATTGCTGGAGCCTCCTTTTGAGATTTGACTTGAGGGATTTGAGTTTCCTATTTGTTTAGTATTGCTGAGGGATTTGAGTTTCTTTGAGATTTGACTTGTTGGGATTTCAATTGATTTAGTATTGTTGGTGACACTTCTTCCTTTTTTTTGGGGGGGGGGGGGCAACCAGACATCTTTATTTAGGGGGGGGGGGCCTAAATAATGGGTTTTTCAACCCCCAAGTACTACCCCCCTTGTAGGGTTGATTCGGGGCCACTTTTCAAACAAGAGTATGTAAATAATTTACAGTTTGGGAGCTAGTATTTTTTGTAGATCTGAATTTTTAAGGCAGGCGAGGCAGATACTGACCAATGAGACAAGCTAGTGGAAGAGGTTGAGATGATGCTAGCGGGTGTGTGTGTGTGTGTTGTTTGGTGTGTGTTTTTGTGAGTGTGTGTGGATTCCCCGCCAAAAACACACAACAAACAACATAACTTTGTTTCGGGGGGGGGTTATTAATCAGTGCCGGCCCACAACATAACTTTAATCGGGGAGGTTTTTTAATCAAAGGTCGACATTGCAGGGCCATCCTTTGTGTATATCTACATATGTATATATGTATATATACATGGCATATAAATATATATATATATATACATATATGTGAATTGTGGGTAGACACCATTTTGGCAAAACCATCTTAGTAACACATGGGGCATTGTAACGGTTGCGGCAATAACTTGTTTCACAGAGTGAATCGGCTGGAGCCTTCTGGACATTGCTCTCTTTTTTTTTAAAGGACGCCAAAAGGGACGCCAAAGGGAGCCAACATTTGTTGGGCCGCCAGTTTCTCATGTTTGTTCTGAGCCTGTACTGGAGGTAGGCCCCTCGTCTGTACCCGCGTTTTGCGACTCGTCTGTACCCGCGGGAATCCGCTCGTTTCTACCCGCGTGGTGGGCGCAGATGAGTCAGATTGATGGCGGTCCCCTATGCTCTAAACTTCACAAATGCAGTACTCACAAGTATTGTGTGGGCACAGATGATCTTAGGTGTTTTGGGGCTTTACAGCTCTTAGAGAATATTCTGAGAAACTGCCATAGGTGTCTACTATGGGTCACGTGCGGTACGGTGCGGCATTTGCGTGTTTTGTATCTTTGTTTGCTTTCAGTGCCATGCTCAAGCCATGTGTGGTGAAGGAGTGTAGCTACAGAGCAGCTAGCCTGGACTGATTCGCTTTCACCGAAAGTCCCTGAATGTAATGAGGGGAGCTCCTGGAATCAAGGATGTGTTTTAGAAGCTTCATTCGGCGTGTTGTCAAAGATCCTAAACCCCGAAAACCCTAAACCCTAAACCCTAAAAAGCCTCAACCCAAAAAAACTGAACCCTTAAAAAACCTAAACCCTAAAATCCTTAAACACTGAAGATCCTAAAGCCTAAAAACCCTAAACCCTAAAAACCCTAAACCCTAAACACTAAAGATCCTAAACCCTGAAACCCCTAAACCCTAAACCCTAAAAACCCTAAACCCTGAAAACCCTGAACCCTAAAAACCCTAAACCCTAAAAACCCTAAACCCTAAAAACCCTTAACCCTAAAAACCATAAACACTGAAGATCCTAAACCCTGAAACCCCTAAACCCTAAAAACCCTAAACCCTAAAAACCCTAAACCCTAAGAACCCTTATCCCTAAAAACCCTAAACACTGAAGATCCTAAACCCCGAAGACCCTAAAATCCCTAAACCCTAACCCTAAACCCTAAACCCTAAACCCCTAAACCCTAAACCCTAAAAACCCTAAACACTAAAGATCCTAAACCCTAAAGACCCTAAACCCTAAAAACCCTAAACCCTGAAAACCCTTAACCCTAAAAACCGTAAACACTGAAGATCCTAAACCCTGAAGACCCTAAACCCTAAAATCCCTAAACCCTAAGAGCCCTAAACCCTGAAAACCCTTAACCCTAAAAACCCTAAACACTGAAGATCCTAAACCCTGAAGACCCTAAAATCCCTAAACCCTAAAAACCCTAAACCCTAAAAACCCTAAACCCTAAAAACCCTTAACCCTAAAAACCATAAACACTGAAGATCCGAAACCCTGAAACCCCTAAACCCTAAAAACCCTAAACCCTAAGAACCCTTAACCCTAAAAACCCTAAACACTGAAGATCCTAAACCCCGAAGACCCTAAAATCCCTAAACCCAAAAAACCCTAAACCCTAAAAACCCTTAACCCTAAAAACCCTGAACACTGAAGATCCTAAACCCTGAAGACCCTAAACCGTAAAATCCCTAAACCCTACAAACCCTAAACCGTAAAAACCCTAAACCCTAAAACCCCTAAACACTGAAGATCCTAAACCCTAAAAACCCTAAGCCCTAAAAACCCTAAACACTAAAGATCCTAAACCCTGAAACCCAAACCCTAAAAACCCTAAACCCTAAGACCCTAAAATCCATAAACCCTAAAACCCTAAACCCTAGAAACCCTTAACCCTAAAAACCCTAAACACTGAAGATCCTAAACCCTGAAGACCCTAAACCCTAAAAACCCTTAACCCTAAAAACCCTAAACCCTAAACACTAAAGATCCTAAACCCTGAAACCCCTAAACCCTAAAAACCCTAAACCCTAAGCCTTGAACCCTGAAACCCCTAACCCCTAAAAACCCTAAACCCTAAAAACATAACCCTAAACCCTAAACCCCTAAACCCTAAAACTCGCTGTGGGCAGGGATGAGCCCAAAGTGTGGGCGCAGATGATCCTAAAACTGACCCCTTTTTTGCAAAGGATCAACTTCTAAGTACTGGCGAAAGCATCTGTGGGCGGAGATGAGTCAGAAAATGTGGGCGCAGATGAGTCACTTCTGTGTGGGCGGAGATGAGCCGAAAATGTGGGCACAGATGAGCCCCTTTCCGTACGGGATCTCTGCTGAAATGAGGTTACAGCTTCACTAAAGATGGTCCAGAATTAAACATGAACTTGGGTTTGTGTTTCTCCATCACATATGGGTGTTTTCCTTTTTTGGGGGCCCCCCCAAAATGGTGGCCTTCCCTTTTGTTTCCTTTTACAAAAAACAAAAACGATGGTAAACTCAAAAGGGTTCTGGGGGCCAAAGGCTGGCCAAGTCCCTGCCGAGCGACGGAATCTCGGACTGATCGCGTCAGGAGGCCGCTGAGGAGGCTGGAGTGGAGCCGGTGTCCGAGGAAGAAGAGGAGGCTGGGATGAAGCATTTGATTTAGGCTTCACTAGATCACTGGGTCCAGAAAAGTGACATGGCTGTGGGTCAAAACCACTGGGATCCCATTTTCGGGTCACCACCCATTTTCGAACCTATTTTAGTTGGGATTGGGATGTTCACGGGGGGTGAGGGGTTTTGACCCATGGCCACATCCTGAAAATTAGAGCCCTCTACATTAAGATGGTGGTTGCAGGGGAGACGGGAAAAAGCGAAGCTCAGAAGGGACACCACCCACCATATTGTTAGAACCCCTCAGCCTGTCAGACGCCATGAAACAGTGGCGAGGGTAAGTAATACACCCCTGCAGATGAACATGGAACCAGAAAAGGTCTATTTTCCTAAAGGACTCTCGAAATGTCACTTGCAATGTTGACTCCCAAACAAACCAACCTGTCGGATTGTTGTTGTTGCTTTTTGTTTTTTTTTGGGGGGGGGGTTCAGATGGCCATACAGACCATGGGGTTTCATCCAGGGTTCCCATCCAGCATCTAAAGCGGGGAGGAACCGGTCGGAAGTTGACGTTCCCGGCACCGGGGTTCCCGGTGAAGGCGAGGGCTCTGAGAGGATTCCTTTTCGCCAAAGGACGAGGGGAAAAGCAAGGTCGAGCTTGTGCTTTCCCAGGATTCAAGGAGGAGACCCGGGTATGTTCCGCTTTTTTTGGGTCAAACCGTTTTGGGATCCCATTTTGGTTGGTAGGTGAATTCACCACCCATTTTCGGACCTATTTTAGTGGTTGGATTGAATCGGATGTTCACTGGGGGCTAACCGGGGCTTTTGACCCATGGCCATACTGTGGATGGACGAAATCCATTTCGCACCACTTTGAAACCACGGGAAACCGCTGTTTGCTGGTTTTTTTACAGGGAATCAGACTCACTTCCTGAGTTCATGAACTTTCAACTTTTTGGGAAGACCATTTTAGTGGTGATTATAAAGTTTGATTTTTTTTTGGGCCATCCACTCAGCCAGTGAGCAGACCATTCCATGGCTCAGGTGGTGCAGAACTTTGTCCAACAGTATGTCGTTTTGGTTCGCTTTCCTCAAAGCCAAGGGGACTAGCTGAGTGTCCAATTGAGTGAACTTGTCATTTGAGCAGGACCAGCATGGCAACTGTTAGAATGGCCTGTGTTGGGTTTCCTAACAGGTGTCCCAGGGCCATTCATGAAGAACCAATGTTTCTTGCCGCTTTTGGGCCCCCGATTTCATCTCTAAGACCCTTCTAAGCACCCCTTCTACCTTTCCTGGTGTGTGTTTGCGTTGGGGGGGTAGCTGGTTGGTTTCCTCCGGAATGGTGAAATTGGTGTGTCCTGAGATGAGAATTGTTCCCTTGTCCAAGCTTTGAGTGCCCTGCATCCGAAGGCCCCAACAACCATTAGGGTTCAGATTTTTACCTAAACCAACCAGCAAAGAATTGCCCCCCCCCCCCCCGCTTTGGAGGTTGGTTTGGCATTGATGCTTCGGCTGGGAAGAAAAACAACGCAGCAAGGACTCCTAGGGAACCATCACCATGACGAGCATTTTTGGGAGTTTCGAGCGTGGCACCACGGCCATGCCAGGAGTGAGCTTTGGAGCCTGCAGCTCAGTGCCTCGATGCCAAGGCTTTCTTTCCGGAACCCCGCCCCTGCTAGGAACCCAGTACCAATTTTCATGAATCACTTTGAACTCGCCCCTAGAACAACCACCAAAAGGGGAAACAGGGAGGACTCGCACAAAAGAACATCTGTTACTGTGTGTTGATTAAGCTAATCACAAGTAGACATATTACAGATGTCAACCTGGACCATGTGAGAACACGTTTGGATTTGGTCTTGCAAAGCATGGCTGAACACAAAAAAAAACCGGTCTTCTTCGGGGCCAGATGTCCAGAAGGGAGCCTCTCATTGTTCTCCCGCATCTCACCGGGTTTGCGATCCTTTTGGGACCCGTTGGATGCCAACAGTGCTGATCTCAGTGTTGAACTCCGCAATCTGACGAGTGACCATTTCCCCATTGACCAAACCACCATCTCAGTTGTTCAGTGGCACCCTTTCCCTTTGTTTTTGCTGGCTGCCCCACTCAAATTTGTTTTCCCCAAAACGGGTTCCCTTTTTTTCCAGGGCCACTGAACAACTGAGCCATATATGGGGTAGAGGTACTCTCGTATTTCTGTTTTTATCAATGGCTAGAAGCACAGCTGGGTTCGAAATTCGTGGTGACAAAAGTGAAGCAAGTCATATCAAATATTGCAGGCCCCTCACTCCACGATAGCGCCCGATGCGCCCGATGCGCCAGAACGCATCAGCCCAGGCTGAACTTGACATCTGGCAAGACGCGCAGAATTCCACCGGCGGCGCGAAAACAGCGTGCGGTGCTGCAGTGTGGGCACGGGTTGCCCAGATCCAACGAAGCGTTTCTTCAAATACCGCGCGCTCGATGCATTCGATACCGCACTTTGAGCACACGGGTGTTTGAAGGCTTTCCAGGGGGGCGTGGCTTTGAAAGGGTTTGTAGCGAGACCCAGCGCTCCCCAAGTTGCTAAGGAAGAGAAAGACATCACGGGGGCAGGGGTTATTCCCCGCTAACAGAAGCAAGCCGTTGTCATTTGGTCCTCGGTCCTGAAATTTTCACAAACCCCGCCCTTTGTCTCGCAGAGCCCACGACCCTTGACTTTTTGGTAGGTTCTTCAACTTCAAAGGGCGCTGGGCTTTTTGTTTCGCGCGCGCCTTTTCGCTCCGCCAGGACAATCTTGACCCCTTCGCCAAGCACAAGGCGTGCTGAGCGAAGCGGATCCATCCTTCGGAGCCCGAGTTTTGGCGCTCGACTGCGCTCGGTGGGTTCAAGTTTGGCCAGTTTGGCACGGGGCCGGTCCAAAATCTGGAAATGGAGCTCCGTTTTCTTGGCTGCTATTGGGTTGGATCTTTAGACTTTAATTTTCGGGCAATCAAGGGGTTTTCCGCTAAACCGACTAAACCCCCAAAAAGTTAAACTTTTTGCAAGGGGTCAACAGCAACCAAGGTTTTGGGTTGTGTTTGAATGGCCGCAAAAGTGTCCCGATCGTTGGAAACACGGTTTGGAAACACTGGATGTCCTTAGCGCCAGCACCTCCGGCTGTCACGGTGAGCTGCGCACCCTTGGCAATGTGGGTCTGTGCTTTTTTAGGGGATTTGAGAGAATTGTGGTAAATAGACTAAAATGGGGGGTGAATTCACCTCCCATTGGTTTTGACCCAGAGCCAAATGACCAAGGCTAACTTTTCCCATGTTGGAAATAGCGTGTCTTCTTTTTTGTGGTTTCCCTGATGGTCATCCCATCTCTACCGGACCTTTCGATCAACCCCCATGTGTGAAGACTGGCTGCAATCCAGGTCGCAACTGTGTGCAAGCCTGCGAAGTTGTAGTCAGAGCTTTTGCTAGAAAAATCAACTAAGACACCCCACATGCTACATAGGCTCGTTGAGAGAGCTACCCCCTACTCCAAATACCCACTGTTTCTAGGGTAGTGGTTTTCCTTTTAGTTTCCCTTTCAAACGAACCAGGGGTACTCTCACAAAAGAAGTATACTATTATGTACCAATTGCGGTTATTTTCTCTGAATTGATCGCCGCAATAGGTGCTCAAAGCACACCACTTTCTTGTGTCCATGAAAGCAAGCCTTCCTTCTTAGGACTGGTAGGGATGGATTCGATGGATCCTGTCGGAAATCTAGACATACTGTGGATGGCCGAAATCCTGCGCCACCTAAGACACCCTGGAATGAGGATTCCTCTACAAATACCAACAAACAATGGTTTCCCATGGTTCTAAAGTGGTGCGAAATGGATTTCGTCCATCCACAGTAGGATTCCCAAAGGAATGACGTCGGCCCAGATTTTCTGAGTAGTTTTCCCCTGCGACATTTGGACATCGGAAGAGTCGGAATTGTCCAATCAGCAATGCGCGTTTTGGTAGCCCAAAAGGCTGTATCACTTAAAAGATCGGATCCAAGTGATGTTCTGCCATCAAAGTGCTCCTGAAATTGGGCGGAATCAAGTCCAAGCTGTCAAGTAACCTTTGAACTTGAGGCAAACTTTGCAGAGTCTTCGTGGCTCCCAGCCATCCGGTTCCGTAGTTTTTGAGCTCTTTAGGGTTTCGTGGGGATTTCCGTTTAGCCCACTAAAAGCTAAACTTTTAGCAGGGGATCTGAGGGCAGCGCTGGAGTTAGTACTGCTTGTATTCCAGAAGGATTGGGAGAAGGGACACGGGCCTGTGAAGACTTGGGAGCGGCTTTCCCTTTGAAAATGGGGGGGTAAGGGCAAGTGTCTGAAGGGACGTCTACAAGGTCCTGTTCAGGTGCAAAAGAGGCTTGTGAGCTCAAAACATGTCTTCCTCCGAATCCGTCCATTGAGCTTTAGTTGAAATCCTGGCAGGGCGACGAGGACAAGCCTCAAGTTCTGTTGACTAGTGTGGCAATGTGTCAGACCCGTTCGGGCGCCAAACGGGTTCGAACCCAAAATGGCACCCAAAGCATACCTAAAATACCGCTCCACCGGGCCAGTTGGTGGCGGAAGCCATGAACACCAAGTTTGTCCTGGGCGAAGGCCGGGAAACGCATCCGGGGAACCTCACCCACGTTGATTGTTCTGTCTTGAGCCCGCTAGGGTTGTGTGACTTGTGATGGTGAATCCCGACTTGTGGGCCTTTCTCAAAATACGTGTGTGTGAGAGAGTTTGTTTCTGTTTGTCTGGAGGGTGTCCTTAGGGTTGGTTTAAAGGGATTGGCCATATCGCAACTTTTGGGGGTCCCCTATTTCGACACGCCCAAGTGACGCAGAACGGATTCAATCGTTTCCTCGATTTGGGTTTCAACATGTGCATGGGGTCAATCGAATGCAGCGTCTGAGGAGCTTTTCATGCTGCCGCATAGGATTGGTGTTTTGCTCTGTTTTGGGGACAGCTGGATTTCGGAAGATGGTCATTTTGAAAACAGGGTCCTAATGTTCAACCATTCATAGATTTATATTTTTTGGGGGGAGGGTGGAGGGGGGAAGTTTGATCTCTCAAGAGAGTTTTCTACACTTTGGCGGCCCAACTTTTGCTTTTTCAAGGGGCCGCTGAACGGCAACTCCCATCAACTTCTGTCCACTTCTGTTGGAAATCGGGCCGCCGCCGGCTGGGCCTGTCCACGGCAAAGTGCACGTGTTTGATCAAAGAGATTGAACAACCAACCAAACCCCCGTGTGCTTAAATGTGCTTGCATGCTCACTTCGGGCATCGGTAGCCTTCGGACCATCCCTCTCCTCGAGGTACTTGCCTCAATCTTTGGGCGACGTGCAGAACGTGTGGGCATGTATCAACATTGCAAGCCCAGCTTTCGATTGCTTCCAACACATTTGGGCGTGTTTGTGTTTGAGGGCACGTTTAATGGGGTTCCGCACTAAATCTGCTGGTGATACAGAATGAGTCCCCAGGGGTTCCGTTTCTGAAAGGAGATTTCGTTCCACAATGTTCCTTAAAATGGATGGTGTTTGAAGTTCCTGCTTTCAATCTGTAGCGCACAGTTGTTTGAGTCTCATTTTAGTGCGAAAGCGAGTACATGCGGAAGGCATTCTCTCCCGGCCTGCCATCGCAGTTTGTTTGCCGCAAGCATGTGGCCGGGTCATGCTAGTGGTGTCTGCCCTGTGGATCCCGGTTACCTACGTAGTAGGTAACCAGCATTTTTCCCTTCTAGTTTTGATAGGGTTTCCTACCATGACCGACTACACGAGGGAGTTGCAGCATCTACTACCCGAGTGCAATGTCTCTCTGGAGCCAGGCGCCTCGCCCTTGTCGGCAAGCGACCGGGACAAGTTCGTGAGCGAGCAGGTGAAGCAGGCGCTGCCTGTCGTGTTTTGAGGTTTGACGGTGCCTCTAGAAATCGGAATGCGACAAAAACTACGTGGACCCCACGTGGATTTCCTCTTGGGTTTCCTTAAACACGAAGTTGAAGGGGGGTACCCTCAAAAAAACGCCCATTCGGATGGCATTTTGTCTGCAAGGGAGATGGATTCCGCGAAGTCCAGAGGTAGAACTGCATGTTGTTTCCTGCAGAAAAGCATGGCATTTACAGCGTTCTGGAAGCATGGGAGCTTTAAAACTTGACTGCTATTGGGTTGGATCTTTAGACTTTAACTTGTTGGTTGAAATCAAGGGGTTTTCCACTAAAACCCCCCAAAAGTTAAACTTTTCGCAGAGGGGTCAACAGCAACCAAGAAAACTACATCCCTGTGAGCCATCGTTTTGAAAAGAAAGCAGGCCCCTTTTTCTCCCATGGCGCTGAGACTCGCTCAGGTGAAGCCCACTGTCCACTGGCATCTCTTCCAGCGCGCGAGCCGCACCTACGACATCCCGCCGGGATCACGGACAGGGCCAAAGGAACGAAGGTGCTGGATATACATGGTTGTTGTTGGGAAACATTTTACATCTTTGCTTATTGTGGTTTAGTGGTTGAAATCCCCGCCTAGCTGCTAGAATTTAATTTTTTGGCTCCCCTTCCATCTTCAACCAAGGTTAGGACTTTAACTTTTTGCCAACTAATACGGGTTCTCCGTATTAAGCCGATAAGAGTTGTGCACTTTTAGCAGAGCAGAAAGCAACCGCGTAAGGGGGTCCTCAATACAGTAACACACATTATTGCTTACCCTCCCGCCAATTAACATGGAACCCGACACGGAGCCGGTCCCTTGACAGGAAAATGCTCTCCCAGGAACCGTCAGGTTCCATGTTAATTTGGTGGGAGGGTATAGTTTGGTTTACTGCCCCGCAAGCCCATTCAAATAATTTCAATCGTTCAATTATTTAGGAACTTTATTATTTTGGGCGGGTACTGGTTTTGGTCTCAAGGGAAACCACCAGGAAAGCCATGATCCTGGGGATCCCCCTGTTTTGACACATCGCATACTTACTTTTCGCCAACCTGCTTCGGCCCCCTCATGTGACTGATCCTTTTGCTCCCGCAACGATTACTTATCACGAGCTCGCCAGGGGTACTCGCAGCTCACCCATGATACACATCTGGGTGTGGCGCAAAATGAAAGAGCTGGGGTTACGCAGGTTTTGGTCTTTGTTTCTATTCAAGGGGCCAGACAATGGGTACCACTTTTTGAGCCACAGCCATCTCTTGCTACTCGGCATTGCCAGTTCGGGGTCTTGTGGTATGCACCAACTGGCTCACCTGCTTGGACCGAACCGAATCAAGTGGGTATGGGTCAAAATTAAACAACCAGGAGACCGCAGGTTTTAGTGCTTGGTTCCGTTTGGCAGCGTTCCAGTTTGGGGACATAATTTTGACCCACAGCCAAGGGTTACAGGTTGAGACATGACCTGCTGACCCAGCACCCGACCAGAAGCATAGTTCTGCCTGATCCGTGGTCAGCCTGGCTTCGCAGGCATAGGCCTCGCAATAAAGGATTCCGAGGGAATCCTTGCCACACATTGTATGTCTAACCTTGCCACGCATCGCATGTCTAACCTGAACACCTAACGGTTAGCCGGAGAATCTAGCACCCAGGAATCAATCTTGTCCCATGATTGGTTTCTCCCTGCTGCTTTCCTTTCGACATGAAAAGTCGACTCTAGGTTTGGCACCCTTCATGCGTAAGTCACTTTCCCATTGAAAGCCCGCTGGCATACCAAAGTTCACACTTTCTCACCAACGCACTCGGCATTTTTCGGCAAGTACAGGAGTTAGGCCACGCTGAATCAGTTCTTGCTCGGTTGTTAGAACCCACAAACAGGTTCATTCCCTGCAACAGAAACACATCTTTCTTCCAGCCTTCTCACAGTAGGCTAGAGCCCACGGTGCGCGCTGCAGATGATAGCGAAGCATGGTAAACAAAAAACACAAAAACCTGGTTCATTTGAGCGTTTTTTCCATCTCTGTCCACCATGGAGGAGTTTTTGGGACCTTTTAGGGCCTGACTCTCAGGCTCGACCTGGTTGTTTCCTTCGAGACCGCCTTGCTGGGCGCCCAGAGTGGAAATTCGGAAAGTCGGATATGGCCGAATGCTGGTTCGATGTGCAGGCAAAAATATCATCCAATTGCTTAAGAATACAATGTTGTTATTTTCCCCTGTTAGTTGTTACAGGAATCTATCACGACTGGAAATATGTGTAGTTTTGCACGGGGCTTAGGCAAATGGAAGATATGGTTTCCTTTACGGGAAACCTGAAACGTTCATTCCCAAAACCCGGAACGGTCATTCCCTACCTATCGCACCAGCAAGGACATGAAAGGTCCTGATGTGTCTTAGATGGGAAGCATGGCGGAAGAATGCGGAGTCACAGGGACGGGACAACGATTCAGTGCCCGAATATGCCATGTATTTCACGCAAGTTTTTTAAATTCTAAAGCTGGTTTGAAACGGATTCCAAACGAGGTGACGAATTGATCCAAAGCAAAAGAGTAGCAACGGAGGGTAAGAGAGGGAGACAGCAACCGAAATCCGCGGTTCGACCTCCAAAGTGATTCATGGAAAGAACACTCTCTCACTGGCACCGTTGCCTGCTATCTGTTACGTTGTGAAAAAATGGAATCCACTCAATGAAGCATCACCTCACCCGGGGCGAACTCACATAAGATTGACACCAAGACAGGTGGAATGGCCGATTTCTGGCCTACTCTGCTGGGTGTCTTTTGGTGCTGCCTTCAAAGTGGGCCGAGTATGACAAGGGTCGTCTTTTCTGTCGTGGCTTTTCCGGGAAGGTCAGCTCTGTCCATTGTTACAACTTGTGGGCTTAGTTTTGAATCATAACTGCATGCCCCAGAACAAACATTTAAACTTCTTAGGGGACACTAAAATACAGGCGGAGCAACAGAGTTAAGCTTTATGCTCAGGGCTGTGGTTCGGTCAGATAGTGTATTCTGAGTGCCGAAAAAGCCAAGGTGATGATAGGGGCGTCCGTTTTGGAGGGTACTCTTATTGGCTTGTGCAAAACGTGCAAAACGAGCCAAAGGGAAAACGACCCACAGAAAGCTCCTAGTTTCGAGACAAACCCGCAATATATTGTTCCCATGATTGATGGTTCCTGTTATTATAGGGGCTTCCAGTGGAATCTGTCTTCAGAGAGCGACCTGAAGGGACACCTAGCATCACCTAGCTGGGAATGGTTGCCTCACGTGTCTGTGATACCGCTGGGAAAAGCAGCTTTCCCAATGACTCACTCCTCACTTTCGGGGAGCTTACTTTCGCAAAGACAAAAACACCGACGGCTTAGGGCGGCAAGGCATCTGGGTAAGAACAACAACGCGGGGTTTGCGCAACATAGGCGCAACTTTGTTTTTGAAGGCTGCACGAGCACGAGAAACTTCTTAAGCGAAAAACCAGAAGGATGCCCGGGCTTGAAACTCATCTGCGCAAACCACGATGTTTGCATGGCCCGCACGCCTGTCAAAAAAGCCTCCCGGTTGCCTGCAGTTTGGGGAGCGTTCGGGGAATCGTGGGCTTTGATCCACCCACTTTGGTTAGGCACCGTCAAAAACCATATGCTTTGGGACTTGGACAACCAGCAGAAGGGTTCTAGGGATCCGCGCATGTTAAGAATTTCGACAACAGTTCGAAGGGTTCCGTTTAACCATAAGTGTTAGGCATTCTGACCAACATTGACTGGATTTTGTTTGTTTGTATGAAACCACACATGTCGACCATTAGCAGGAATCCGTTGCTTAGGGAGCCATAGGTGCTACGAATTTAGACAACCATTCTATCATCAATGGTTCTGATTTTTTAGGGAACCACACATGTTGCAGCCGCCGTTGGAAGGCTTCCGATTTTTCCGGGAAGCTTGAATGGGGCATTTTGACACAGAAGGGGATTCCGTGTCTCAGGCAGCTACCACTAGACACCGTTGGCAGATCATTCTGTCACCATATGGCTGTGGGTCAAACCAATGGTACCATTTTGGGGTAGGTGCACCACCCATTTGAGAACCTATTTTAGTGCCTCCGGCTCAGGCCGCCGACATTACAGGCCTGCTTTCTTATTTGCGTCCCTTTGGAATTGTCCCCTTCCCCCTTCCCCTCTGAGATTTTTGCCCCCCTTTCTTTGTTGAGATCCATTTCTCCTTTCCGCCCGAAGGCCTTTTCTCCCTCTGTTTTTTCCCCTTTTCCTCCCTAAGATGTTTTCACCCCTCTCCCTGTTGAGATCCTTTCCCCCCTTTCCCCCCTAAGGCCTTTTCCCCCCTGAGATCTTCTCCCTTTGCCTCCCTAAGATCTCCCAGATCGTCTCCCTTTCAGGGAGAAGATCTGGGAGAAAAGGACTTAGGGGGGAAAGCCCAACAGGGAAAGGGGGGAAAAGATTTAGGAAGGAAAAGGGAGAAGCTCTCAGGGGGGGGAAAGGCCTTAGGGGGGAAAGGGGGAAAAGGATCTCAGCGGGGGGGGGGAAGATCTTAGGGAGGAAAGGGAGAAGATCTGGGGACAAAGGCCTTAGGGGGGAAAGGGGAGAAATGATCTCAACAGGGAAAGGGGTGGAAAAGATCTTAGGGGCAAAGGCCTTAGGGGGGAAAGGGGAGAACTGATCTCAACAGGGAAAGGGGTTGAAAAGATCTTAGGGAGGAAAGGGAGAAGATCTGGGGGAAACAAGGCCAACAGGGACAGGGGGGAAAGATCTAAGGAAGGAGAAGCTCTCAGGGGGGGAAAGGCCTCAGGGGGAAAGGGTGGGAAGGATCTCAACAGGGAAAGGGGGGAAACAATCTTAGGAAGGAAAGGGGGGGGGAAGATCTTAGGGAGGAAAGGGAGAAGATCTGGGAGAAAAGGACTTAGGGGGGAAAGCCCAACAGGGAAAGGGGGGAAAAGATCTTAGGAAGGAACAGGGAGAAGCTCTCAGGGGGGGGAAAGGCCTTGGGAGGGAAAGGGGGGAAAGGATCTCAACAGGGAAAGGGTGGGAAAGATCTTAGGGAGGAAAGGGGAAGATCTTTAGGGAAAGGAAAGGCTGGGGGAGGAAGGATCTCAAAGGGGGAAAGAGAGGATCTTTCTTCTGCCTTTCCTCCCTAAGATCTGGAAATGAAGGGGGGAAAGGGGGAAAGGATCTCAACAGCGAAAGGGGGGGAAAGATCTCAGGGATCTGGGAAAGAAAGATCTCAAGGAAAGGGAGAAGATCTGGGGGAAAAATGCCTTAAGGGGGAAAGGGGGGAAAAGATCTTTGGGAGGAAAAGGGAAATCTTTCTCGGGGGGAACAGGCCCTAAGGGGCAATCGGGGGACAGGATCTCAATCGGGAAAGAGAGAAAAAAACTTTGGGAAGAGAAGGGTGGAGATCTTGGGGGGAAAAGGCCTTAGGGGGGAAACGGGGGCAAGGATCTTAAGCGGGAAAGGGGGGAAGAGATCTTAGGGAGGCAAAGGGAGACGAACTCAGGGAAAAGGACTTAGGGAGGAAAGGGGGGGGGAAAGATCTTTGGGAGGAAAAGGGAGAAGAACTGAGGGTGGGAAAAGGTCTTAGGGGGGAAATAAATGATCCAGCATAGGCAACATCACCAGCATCACTTGCATCATCCGCATCCTTGGCAGGCGCTGATGCGGATGATGCAGGTGATGCTGGCGATGTGCAGCTGGAGCTGCTAAGGATGCGAAAGCGCACCCGGGGGGAATCGAACACCCCAATGTTTTTGACAAACTGAGTTGCGCAAGCCCGCACAATGAACAGATTTAGTGAAGCGTCTTCGAATCACCGCGTGGTACGTGGACCCCCCCCCCCCCCGGCAATAGTCTGGGGGTAACAGGTAAAGAGGTAAGGAGCATTTCTTATGTCCAACACGCCGCCTGTTGTCGGCGGATTTTGTGGGATTGGGATGTTCACTGGGGGTACGATTTGGATGTTGACCCATGGCCATACGTCTCGGGGAACAGGCTGGAGCTGTGGTCCAACTCGGCCCATGAGCAGCTAACGAAGTGGGGTGCCCGATCCAGGAATTCGGCGATTCGGCAGCCAGTCCGCGATAGGAAGCCACCAGAGGACTGGACCCTTTTGGAGGAACATCGTCTTGGACTCCCCAAAATCAATGTTGGATGGGAGAAGACGGCGCTCAATCAGCAACTGAGAAAAAACCATCAACAACTAAGACAAAGTTGCAGCGTCGTCTCTGGATGGGAGGGTAAGAGGGAACCCAAGAAATGGTCGAAATCATTCATCCCGAATTCAACCTTTCGATTCAGTTCATTGGACTATTTCTTGCTTAAGTATGGCAACCCTTCCCCCCCGAAGTCCAAAATGGCCATGGGTTCGTACAATACGGCTTCATACAAGCCTTTGTTTGATGGTTTCCTGGCGAAGTCAAGCACAACGGCATTCAATCGCTTCATGCGAACCCTTCACCTGAAAATCCCTAAATTCAAGCCCTTCAGGCCTTCAGCGTTGAAAGCCCAAGGAAAACGCAGCGTTCGTTCGGCTGCGCGGAAGCGATGCGAGCAAACGCGTTTGCGAAAGGGGTCGCAAAAGGTGTCACCATGTGTTGGCTAGATTGTTTGTTGAAAGGAAACTGGCTTTAGTGTCCTCAACCTGTTTTGGGACTCGTTTTTCTCGGTGGTGATGCCTTCAGAGCGCGCGTAGCACATGCAATACGTAGCAGGCCAGTACTTTGGAGCTCGGCGTGCAGGTTTCGCAGCAGGCGCAGTACTTTGGAGCTTGGCGTCTCGGTTTCGTCCGTGCGAGAGAGAGAGAGAGAGAGAGAGAGAGAGAGAGAGAGAGAGAGAGAGAGAGAGAGAAAGAGAGAGAGAGAGAGAGAGAACAAGAGAGAGAGAGAGAGAGAGACGGAGACAGAGACAGAGAGAGAGAGAGATTGAGGGAGAGAGAGAACGAGAAAAAGAGAAACAGAGAAAAAGGAGAAAACGGACAAGTAAACATGAGAAACAGAAAAAGAGAGAAAGAAAGAAAACAGAAAAAGATAAAGGAGAAACAGAGGGAAAGAGAGAGGGAGAAAAAGAGCAGGCAACATGAACAAATAGAAGCAGAGAGAAAGTGGAAGCGATAAAAGGAGAAACGAGAAAAAGAGGAAAAACACCAACAGGGAGAAAGAGAGAAAGAGAGAAAGAGGGAAGGAGAGAAGGAGAGAAGGAGAGAAAGACAGAAGGAGAGAAAGAGAGAAAGAGAGAAACAGAGCAAGAGCGAGAGAAAGAAGGAAGGAAGGAAGGAAGGAAGGAAGGAAGGAATAACTAAATAAATAAAGAAAGGAAGGAAAAGAACGAAAGAAAGCAAGAAAGAAAGAAAGAAAGAAAGGGAGGAAGGAAGGAAGGAAAGAAAGAAAGAAAGACATAGATAAGGAGAGAAAGAGAGTGAGAGAGAGGGAGAGAATGGCAAAAAGAGAGGCAAGAGAGCCAGAGAGAGAGAGAGAGAGAGAGAGAGAGAGAGAGAGAGAGAGAGAGAGAGAGAGAGAGAGGAGAGAAGAGAGAAGAGAGAAGAGAGAAGAGAGAAGAGAGAAGAGAGAAGAGAGAAGAGAGAAGCGAGAAGCGAGAAGCGAGAAGTGAGAAGAGAGCAGAGGGACGAGATAAGAGAGAGGAGAGAAGAGAAAAGGGGAACGAGAGAAGAGGGAGAGGGGGAGAGAGGGAGAGGGAGGAGAAGGGGAGAGGGGAGAGGGGCGCCACCCCCCAGCCTGAACGTCTCCACATCCCAACGGTGACACCGTGGCAAATGGCAACTGTAGGCATGAAGGCACGCGCGAGAGTGGGTATCCTGCTCCAACCCTTAGAGGAAGGACCCCCATCCAAACTCCATGTACCCGGCGGCATTGTAAGCGAGGACGCGCTTTGTGGCAGAAACGCCACTTCATCGCGTTGCGGTGGTCGCAGGTCCTTGTGTAGGGGACGCAACGACTGCAAATTCGGCAAAGATACATTCAGCAAAGAGGGGTCGCGCCCGCCAAACCTGTTGGGACCACCAGGCTGGGAAAGATAGAGCAGGGCGTCCAGGAAAGTCCTTGCGAAAAAGACTGAGAGCGCGTGAGTTGGCGGTGCCAGGAGCCGTACTTCTGCTCGTCCGACAGGTTACCGGGAATTCGTCTGAGATTTCACAACGCGCGTAGCCGTTCAGCGACTGGTGGATAAGTAAAGGAAACGACCAGTAGAAGGTCGGTCAAAATTGAAAGCGTTGGCAGCACATGACAATCACCAGGATTGTGTGTCGATGCCATCCCAGCTGATGCGAGATGGGAGGGGCCAAGCAGGTGTTGTGCGGGCGTGCTGTGGTGAAAATGCTTGACCTGCACGCGTGTGGGTTTGATGTCCCGACCTTATCTATCTGCTGCCAACTGCTGGACGCTTTGCCAGCCGTAGGCCAAAAGCTGGCTTTGCGCACGAATCCGCGAAAGGCGCTCGAAACGCAGCCGGAAGGCCGCGTCGGGACCACACTTCGCTTGTATTGAAAAGTTGCGCTTTCGAGCTGGAGCTGCCAAAGTGTGCCTCGTATATACTACAGTTAGTGGGAAAGTTGCGACGTTTGGGCTGGAGCTGCCAGACGGCATGCTTTGCTTACTGCACTTGTACTGAAAAGTTGCGACTTTCGCTCCAGCTGCCAGACTCTGTTCGAGTTGGATCGTAAGAGGAAAACTATAAAGCGCGGCTTGGTTTGCGAAAGAGGTGCAAGCAATCTTCCCAGGGATTTCAAAGAAGAACGCGGCCGAATGTCAATGTCTAGATATTGACCACTCGCAGCAATGGGCCCAGTTTCGACAGCCATGCCAGCTCGAGATTTTAGGGTGCTATGCGTCCTTGAAACGGTGTTCGTCGGGCTTGACCTGTGCAAACCGTGGCTCGACAAATAGACATTGCTTGTACCTCCCAGGGCGTAACAAAGCAAACTAAAAAACAAACGTCAGGCGTTTCGACATCCATATTTCAATAAAGCCACTCTGCAAAACCTCAGGAAACTCCCGACACAACAGCAGCTCATGGCTCCAGACTGCATGGACCAAACGCACAACGATTTGAGTTGTCGGCATATATATACAAATACATAACCAAAAAGAGGCTGTGTTCTAGAAATCGACGTACCGCCCGAAGCGGACGGCCTTGGGAGCACATCAGAAAAAAAACGATTGACATTGACCTTTGCTTTACCGGTGTACCGTCTCAAACGGGATGATTGGGGGAAACGGACCCTGAATTGCCCCAATAGGGGTGGCACAATATTTTCTCACACCAGTTTGGAGACAGGGGCCACAATGAGTACTGGCTGTGGCTATACTGCAACCCTTTGAAAGACCAAATGTAGATCGAAAAGGGAAGTGAGTTTGAGAAGGCGCGTGGGGTTTCACAGGAACAAGTAGTTGCACAGAACAGGCAGGCCTTGGCATCCCCACTTCGCTAAATACTGGTTTGGTGGCTCCTTCTCAGAAGCAAATTCGCCTTCTACAAAGGCTCATCTTCCAGCCCGGACAGACTGAAAATAGACCAAGAATTCCGGATGTTGTGTTTTGTTCAATTCGCTTTGGGCAAAAGGATATGTCTCTCACCGATATGTTGTCCTCGGATCCCCCCAAACTTTGATTGATAAGTCTGAGGCTTTTCCTGGAGCCCATCTTCAAAAGCTTCGAGAAGTTGAAGCACGACATGGAGGCACCGAGGGCGGAACAAGTTTCAGGGCGACCTGCTTCACAGGCGGCACAACTTGCGTTTTTGGATGAAGCATGGCCGGGTGCAAGCAAACACGTGGATACCCCAAAAGCGGTTTGGGCGAATCATTGTGTCCTGAACAGGTTTTGGTCTGGCACTTGAGTTCGCACCAGTTGCCAGAGCCAAAAATGCCTGGCGTTCCTTCTGGTTCGATCTCTGTTTTATTCTCCATCTTCATCATCATGGTTGTTGTTGGGCAACATTTTGCATTTTTACTTATTGTAGTTTAGTGATTGAAATCCCCACTTATTTGCTTTTTTTTGCTCCCCACACCCAACGTCAACCAAGTCATGTTCACTCAAGGTAGTGAATCATGGGGAAAAATCCGACTGTTGGACTCGGACGCTGGGCATTTTGGTCGGTTTCCCTTTCCATCAAGGTCCCCCAGCGATTGGTGCCAGCTTTTACCGATTGACTTTTGGTTGGGAGGGTTCCCCTACTAAAATAGACTACAGAAAAAAGTTGGTACAGTTTAGAATATAACCTCTCTACAGAAACCGGACCTAGTCATTTGAGTTGACGTGTGGAAGTCGCAGGACGTCGCCCGTTCCGAAACCATCTCCCCAAGGGTTTTATTTCTCACGTCCACAGTGAACAGACCAGTTTTCTGTTCTGCCCTGGGGCTCTTGCTGGGTACCTTTCTTGGTTCCTGCTAGACGCCAGCCAGAATGGGCTCCTAATTGGCTGGACACCCACCCCCCCATAGTCAGAACGCATGCCGATCCAATGCTCCCATTCAACTGGGTGACCGGTCACTAAGGCAAGCCATGCGAATTCAAGAGGCCAGAGTTTGGAAACCAAGAATAGGTGTTAAATCGGCCAGATCTTCAAATCGCTGTTCAGACAACCTGGTTGTCTACCTTTCGGGGCTGCAATGGCTATTTCTGAAGGGTTGGCCACATATTTAGCCAATCCTTTGAGGCACCCCAGCCATATGTTTGCCTTCATTGCAGCAAACACTTTGGAGGGGTCTTTAAACAACTTTGGGGACTCGCCGGATTTTCTATTCACCCACCATTTGAAGGGTATTCGATTGACTTTGCCACATCTGATCTTTAATATCGGAGTTCAAAATGGATACCTACCATTCAACATGTCCGTTTCACTTCATTTAACGGTTAAATGAAGTAAAACGGACATGTTAAGGATGACCCCATGTCCCTGGAAACTGGACCCAGTGCAACCCAGGTCTCAAAACCAAACAAGCAGCACGAAAGCCTGCGAACTGGGTGTCCATTGCTTGGACACGCAGCGCAATGTGGAACTCATGTTCTTATCCTGTTTTTGCTGGGCAACAAAGCATTTCTACATGGGAACCTCTGGGGTGTGTTACTGGGTAGCAAAACAATATTACTGTTCATATTTGCAGGTGTCCTATCCTGTTCAAGCCATTGTGCTTGGTGAAGTGTATGGTGGTATTTGTATAGATGGGATGTTCAGTAGATGTGAAGGGAGCCCGAAAGAGAAACACCAATGTTGAGTGCTTCCCATTTGGAGACAAACATGTGCTTGTGAGTCTTCCCAAAGTATATTTATGTATTATATAGTTATATATATATATATATACAGCTCCCAAAACGGGTCTCCCAAAAAAGCCGCCCATTTCACGCCTTGTTCACACTGGTTCCCTGGCTCCCGGATGACTCGCTTGAAGACTGTGCTTTGTCCTTGGGAAACAGCGTATCAAAAACCTCCCAAAACGCGCGGCTCTCCTTTGAGTTTCCTACCAACCGAAAAACGGGGCTGCCGAGCCTCAAAACGCACACCAATATGGGGGCTTTTAAACATGGGACGGTTGCCTTGTGGGCTTCCTTAAAGCCACACAAAGGGTACCCGCAAAAACACACATATATATATATATATATTACACATACATACATAAAACACATATATACATATATACATAGACATATATATATATATATATATACATGTATACATGTATAATCATATATAATCATATATACATACATACACAGATATATCTATACATATGGTTACCACGACCAACTCGATCCTCTCGGGCCTTGGAGGAGTTCAACCGCCGGCCGCGCCGCAAGGACGGAGGGGAGAGCCAAGTGGCGGTTGGCGTGGTTGGCTTTTTCTGCGTCTGCCGCGCTGAATTGCCAACCGGAGCTGTCAACCGGCACCCTCTTTCATCTAGATCTGTGTCCAACGATGGAAGTGGGAAGTCAGCAATCCTGTCAACTGTCAGCCATGTTGCGGAGGATAAGTGCGTGACCCTCCCCATTCGAAGGCCTGCCAAGGCTTCTTTCTTCGCCCGTAAAAATCACGTCGAAATCGAAGCGGTACCGTTCGATCCCTGTCAAAAAAAAGTTGGTTAAATATGTCAAAGCACCCCGTGGCATGATGAATAGGTGTCTTTCCTGCTGTGTGCTGGTGGACCTTGACAAATTTGAGCGCTAGTTGTTTGCAACCAGTTTGAGGTAACCATCATAACAATCAGTGTTTAGAGCCAGCTTACCTGTGAAAATGACGATGGCGGTCCCTCACTTGCGGATTCCCTACTTCCGGTTGGTGAATTACAAGAATCAGTTCAGTTTTGAATCCGGGATCTTCCAGAGAACAGCTTCTTCAAAGACAACGTTCACTTGACCAATCGCAGATGTTGGACGCATGCTCGACAATGTACGTAGAGGACAACATATGACTCGCTAAGATCGCCTGAGATCTAACCTCCTTCCAGCGGCAACCTTTACCTTTGGAGCGGTGGGTGTCATCCAACAGATGAGAATGACCTGGGTGGAGTTCGGACTGCTCACAGTTCCCAAGGCATAGCTTAGAAGTCTTGGGTAGACTTCTTTAGCGGTGCTATTGACGGTGTCCTTGTTCTGATACCTCTTGTGACATAATTACATTCGGAGGGTCAATCAATATGGCTCAGAATGTGAACCTGCCATGTTGTGTGGGCAACAACTGCAGTTGAGTTGCTGTTTTCTACGATCAAGGGCCTAGAGGGGCCTAAGAAACTCAGGCTGTTATCATGACTCCGACCTACGCTCCCCCTCAGTCTGGGCATATGTTGGGTGTTTCCAATCCAAACCAGCACCGCATGCCTCGCTCTCTCTCAACAGTTGAGCGCCCACACCCCCTTGGCTCGTCGTCTAAGATGCTTATAAAGGTTTATCTAGGTTTTATGTATTTTTCCTATAACCCCCATGAAACCAGGTAGACCCAGGCACGAAAGTTGCCCTTGTGGGGTTTGGGTTCAGTTGGAAGGACTCCAAGGTCCAGTTTGCCTTCGGCCCGAAGCTTGCGGAGGCGCCAAGTGGGCCGTGCTTCGGGAAAAACCAACGGTCGGTTGTGGTTGCAGTTGCATGTTTCTTTTACCCAGCAAAAGAGAATAAGGAGGAACCATGATTCTTTTGCCATATTTCCTGTACCCTGCAACCATGTTTCCGCAATTGGGAAGTCAATCATGTTTGTCTTTTGCCAACAAAAAAATCACAAACCCACGCTTAGCAGGGTTCCCTACATTTCCCTTGGTTGGCTTTTTCGACCTCACTTTTGGTGGGGCGTGGTTTTTCTTTTTGCCTCGGGGTTCGTCGGCCTTTTGGATTGGCTGAGGGAGAGCGCGGTGGAAAGCGAACACGGAAGACTGGGCAGGGCCCGGCAGGGCTCCTTAAAAGATCTCCATGTCGCAACCATTTGAAACATGGCTGGCTTTTTCAACGCCATAAAGTTGGAAACCACCATTTCCAAGTTGCAATGTTCAGGTGTATAATGTAAGGATCCCTGCTGGGCTATGACATGTTGATGGGCACGGGCTGGTGGTTTGGATGGTTTGGAGGTGTTCTGGGGGTGGTTTCTCATTGATCCTCTACAAAGAACCAGGGGTTCAACTCCCCAAAGCAATCCGATTCCCACCAATTGGTGTGTGCTCAATGAACATTGATGCCCATGGACATATCTTAAGATGGGAACTATTTGGGAGTCTCTGAGGAAGCTCCACGAAATCTTCAGAGGGATGACAGTGTTGAGACGTAGCCAGATTTGTCACAGTCAATATTGCTGGCTTTGGGAAGGACATGGGGGGACCAGCCAAAGTACCCACAAGACAGATATGTATATATATATATACACAGGCCTGCATTTTGCTTGCACCTGCAACATGTTCACTTCTTCTGAAAGAAATGGCGAACGTTTCCCCACTGAGCCGCGAACAAAGCCTGTCTCCCAACATGCTGGCATTCCTTTTGGTTTCGTCTTAGAACCTGAAGACTGTACCCTCACTCAAAATGACACACACACATGCATAAACCCATGTTTAAATTCCCCAGCAAACAACGGGATGGAGGAACCCCCTCAACCTCGGGCCTTCGACCAGCAACTCGACGGTTGAAATTTCAAAATGGCAAATGGGTGGTTAAAATGAATTTGTTTGACACATGCTCTTATAAGGAAGTGTGAAAAGATCGGCTGGGTAGGGGCTGTCCTACGCCCAGAGAAATGCTGCAGGTGTTAAAGGAGATTCGCTCCTTCAAGGCGCCGGACAACGCAGAGGACGCAACCTGGATGAAAGGCACTAATTGACGACAAAGCAGGGTATCACTTACTGGTTGCCAAGTTGAGGAGTGGTATCCTCTTGGTGGGATGATGTGTAAGCGAAATATGGCAGCCGTGTCCGATTTCCCGCATCTTCTCCGCAACATCGGGATTATTAACATTCAGATGGCTCGATTGCCGTTGCATTGATTCATGGCCATTAGTCTGCTTTACGATGCTGCCCACCACACAAGAGGGGTACTGCTAATTGACATAGCCCCCGAAAAAGGGGCTGCCTAATGGAGACTCAAGCACTGTGTGTTGGCAGTGGCCAGGATCCGCCATCCCAGAAGGTGAAACAAACTCGTCGGTTCCCAACAGACGAAGCCTCACGAGTCTGTCAAATGACATACCCAAGCCCAGCCTTTTGAGATTTGGGTTTTCCATGATTGGTTCCTTTCAGTGTCTCCCAAAATCAAGTCGAGGGGCCGCCCAAGTTTCCCATATCCCGTTGCAGATATCTGGAGTGCCAAGGGAGCAGGAGTCATGTGCGCAAAGCACCACATGAGAAGCGCACACGCAAGGCCAATGTTTGCACGTTGTCGTATTTGTGTGTTGTGTTGTGCTGTTGTGTGTCGCGTCGTTGTGGTGTGCTGCGCTGTGGTGTTGTGTGGGGTTTGAATTTGTGCTTCTGTTTGTGTGTTCGTGTGTTTGTTTGTGTTTTTGTGTCTCCGTGTCTGCGCTTTTGTGTTTGTGTGCCCGTGTGTCTAAGTTTGCTTGCTTGCTAGTTTTCTGTTTGTTGGACAATCGCATGGGGGCCATCCAGCAGCTTGCTGTGAGCGCCGCCTGTCGTTCGCCGCGTGGAGCCGAGGCGGTTCCTCAGAACGAGGCGGAGCGGTGTGAGAGACTTTGCCTCAAGGCCGGCGTTGCTCGCAGTGTCAGAACTTGCTGGTGCTGAGCCAGGGAATGAGAGAATGCCCCCTTCAAATTTTCCTGGTGGTTTCCTTTATCCCCAGGTTCAGTCCCTCTTTCCGTGCTGAGCGCCAGCAAGAGAAAGAACCTGTGGCCAATGAATTTCCCTTGCTCCCTGCCTCCAACCTCCGCCTTACCTTCCTGCCTGCGGCTTGTAGTGGAATGGACGGATCCCCCAAACCATTGTCAGATTTTTGCTGGAAAAGCTAACTACACGTGCTTGGTCGGTTGGTTGGTTGCGCGGACTGGTCCGCTGTCTAGGGAAGCATCCAAATCAATAGATGGGCTTAAGTTGAAGTAGCTCCATCGTCGCTAACATGATCCTATTATGATGACCTAAACAGTTTTTAAAGTACCCAACAAACAACAAACACATGCCCTTTTAGTGCCAGCGTGAGATTGGTTGTGGAGATTGGTCTCCAATTCAGGAACCGCCTTGGTTGGTTGTTTGGTTTCGCATGGAAACCAGCCAAGTTTGCTTGTCCAAAATTGAGGGCCCCCTCCAAGTGAATGAAGGCCCGGGGTCCCAATTTGCCAATGTTGTGATATCACCGGAATTGGCCGTTTCAGCGAAGGCAGAAGGGGAAGTGTTCTTTTGGGAGGGCACCCTTTTCGGACTGCTTCTCAGGGAGAGCCAAGCGAAGCCACTTTGGGTTCCCCGCGCCAGATCCGGGAGACCATTCAGCAACTTAGCTGAGGGAGGTGAGCGGCCGCAAGTTTCGGAGTCCCAGTTGTTTGGTGCTCAGAGGGAAACCAGGTAAGCAATCATCACGGAAGTAATGTGGGTCAATCAGGTCAATCAGGTCAATCACGTCAAAGAATCAGGTCAAGGTCAAGCAGGGAAATTGTATTTGGATCTGAAGGGGTGAGTATGGTTTTGAAGGAGGTAGATGGAAGACGCGGGGGTTTCGCCTTTTATTCGGAAGAATTCCGTGATCAAGCACAAAGGGTGTCTTTGGTCGGCAGCTGGTCATGTAACATACGTGAGAAAAAAAAACTAGGCAAACATCAGCACGATTTGCGTGACGCACCCAACACATATTAGAGACGGCGCACGATTTCGACCGGCGATTCCGGAGTGTTTGAATCCCTGAAGGGTGACAAATGCGTAGCTCTGCGGCTGTTGAAGCCGCCCGGACTTTTTAACAGGTGCAGTTGACAGCTGCTCTGCTGTCATCAGGGCATTTTGAGCCCTCTGCCTGCGCAATCGCCAATGAGCAAGCTCACAACGTATGCGGAGTTTCCCCATCAGAGTGCCTTTTCAGAGGCGAACTGCCTTACAGGGACCACACGTAGCAGGTTTCGTATTTCCAAAATGTTACAAGGGCCGAGAACGTAGTGCCAGATCGTGGCTTGCACTCTGTGGCGACTGCAACAGGCGCCTTGTGCTTCGCCTGAGAGTGCAGATTTTCCGGTCACAGGCGGCACATACAGCCGTGTGCTTCAAAGGAAAGAGGGAGGGTTGCCGTCACATGAACCTCAGTGTGTCTAGTGTTGGGTAACGCTCTGTTTCTTGGCTGTAAAGGCAAGCCAAGAGGAAACACACACTATTTTGTAGAAATGCACAGGGGAAGTCGAATGTGTGTGAAAAGCAGCCCAACATACTTTTGAAACAGCAATTTGTCGGGTCTTAGATGGCGTCACACAGGTCGTTGAATCACAATGCAGTGTGCCAATTGAAAGATTTGATAGATTGCTGGGGACGTATTGAAAATCAGAGGGCAGAATGGTTTGACGCATGATGCTGCTTTGGCACCAACCCATTTGCGCACTCCCCTAGGAAGCCCTGCGCAGGATATTGCTTCTTAGCCATTGAATTTGGTGCCGACAACTGGCGATGTGTTCACGTATGGGTGCTGCAACTTTGCTTGGCAGCGTTTTTACTGGGCAAGGCGTATCTTTGCTCCCAGAAACAGTCCACTGGCTTAATCGCGCAATCCGTACCACGCTTGTTTGACGAACATGAGCACCATCCGTGCAGCGCCTTTGTTTGTTCCGGTTTTGGGCAAGGTCAGACAGCTTCTGTTTGCATGAGTAAGTGGCGGACAACCATGACAACCCAAACTTCCCGCAACTAACAGGAAAACAACCTGATACCCAATTATGCCACGTCCTGGTAAGTCTCCGGGGCTCATATTAGATCATGACACCTGGGGATTGCCTTAGGAGTTGACGACCGGTCTCTTCACGCAACGCAGGCGCGCAGTTAATGGAGGCCAACCCTCACTGCCGGCCTGGAGCCTCAAATTGATCTTGGATTCAGGGGGTGAGTATGAGCGTATTCCTCTTGTGAGATCTTCGAACCTTGGATGTTGCTTCTCATGTGCGCTTTGTTGATGTGCCAGTGTCTGGCATGGATTGCTATTGCTCGTGGCCTAGCCAAATCGCCAATCTGATCAAGGCTGGCTTGCACACTTGTGCGTCGTCTACTTGCTGCAGCTTTGTGAATTTCAAGTAAGCCAAGAGAGGCATCATGTTCTTCCTCAGTTGTTCTGGCGAGTGATGGGCTATTCGAACGTGGCAACATAAATCGAAATAAGTATGTGTGTCTCCAAATGGGGACCCTGTACAAATGGGGCTCCTTTCGGGTTTCCGTCCAAAAGCCCGTTTTTGGGGCTTGCTTTCAACTTGCAGCCCAACGGACACCACGAGTTTTGGCTGCAGCTCCCCACAGGTATCCCTCGGCAAAAGAGCTGTGCCCCGGCATTGGTTTGAGGGTGCTGGTCTTGTCACACAGAGTTTTTCACCTTTCCTTAATCTTTTCTTTGCGCAGTCATATAGTCTCAGGCTCGTATATGGTGGGATCACCCTTTGTTGAGAGCTGTGAACATGTCAGTAGGCTGCATGCGCCTCTCCAAAGTTGCCGTTGCGCTTTTGGTGTTTCCAATTGCCTGCCGGTTTTCAAGGAAGGCAATGACTGGTAAATGTGCTATTCATAGCTTGCCTTATAGAGCCCTGTTTGGGGACAATCACTTCGGCCCTTTTGACAACACTGTACTTGAGAAAACAACTACTTGGTGCCCGATTCTGATCCCCACTTTGTGTTAAGCTTTATTGGGCCTTTGTTCGTCACTACCCTCATTAAGTCGAGACCTTTTCTTTGACTCAGTTTTGCGACCTTGCTCGATCTTTTCAGACAAAGTCATCGTGCAAGAAACAGTCACAGATATGTTGGATCGGGTAAGGACGTTTCAGGTGGTCATTCAGAGGTGCGGAGTTTTGGCTACCGCTTGGATTAGTATAATATACTCCCCTTATATAAGTTATATGTAACATTCACCCCGCTCGAACTATGATTTACTCATGGATCAATAGCAAACAAGGTGTTATTTGCTTGTCCCACAAAAAACAAAAAACAACAGGCTTCCATTTGCTTAACAGGTTGTTTTCTCTTTCTTTTCTTTAAACAAATCCCTGGTTGCATTTGTTTCCTTGTTGTTGTTTTTTTGGGGGGGGAATCGATCAGCGGACACATGTGGTTTCCAGGCTGATTCGCCAATTTGTTTTGTCACGTGGGTGGCCTTTCCAAGGCCACGCGGGCGCTGTGCGACTGCGTGGTTCAGGCGAGAGCTGAGGCTTCTTGGGTTGGATCTTTCGACTTTTCGGGCTGTTTTTTTTTGGGGGGGGGAATTGGCCTCATCCATGTAGGTTGACCAGGGTTGCTTGTTGGTTGAACTCGTTTGGCTTGGCCGAGTTGGTTGAACTTGTTGGGGTTTTCGGAATGGAAATCCCAGGTTAGACTTTTGCAGAGGGGTCAACAGCAACCAAGCCTTGAGCTTGCTGGAAATCATGTTTGGTCGCTCCCTTGGCACCCCAAATTGATTAGTGGGCGCGTGTCCCATTTCTGGAGGGGAGCGTTCGCGTTTGGGGAAACCCTCCCACGTGAGTCCGCCAAGTGTTCTTGCACCAGGGTGAAAGTGGATTGCATTGTTTTTGCTTTTATGCCCGTAAGGAACAAAAGGAGGGGGCTGAGGGCCAAGATGGAAAGCACTCTAGAATGCTGATGGGGTTCGGCACGTTCCGAAGGTTCCTGTCTTGGCAATCAGTTGTTCAGGTTGGTGAATGCTCTGTTGGTGGGTTCCGGACATAATGTCAGAAACACAAAGGTTTATTTTTCTACCAGGGCCTGAAAAGCCACGTTGGATTTGTCTTTTTTGGAGGGTGCCCTTTTTGGGATGGTTTTCAGAAGCCAAAGGAAAACCACCATTGTGATCCATTTTGGAGCGTCCCCTACAAAAAGACACACCCACATGACTCCTGCGCCCACCCCGCCCCACCCCACCCCATCCCAGCCCACCACACCCCACCCCACCCCACCCCACGCCACCCCACCCCAGCCCACCCCACCCCACCCCACCCCACCTCTGCGCACGCGCCCGGGCCCCAACCCCGAAGGAAGAACTTCGTCACAGGGGGCTGCGCTGGGTGCTGCGGCGCTGCTCCCGCTGCAGCGGCTCTACGCCCCTCGGATATGTGGGATCTGAGGGTGTTCCACTTGGATGTGTTGTTGTTTTTTGTGTGTTTTCCTCTCTTGGTTTTGAAGGGAATCTATCACTACTCGTTCTTTTTCCCCCACCCGACAGGAAGGGGTTGTTAAATTTTATGTTGGAATCCGCTTTTGAGATGCTTCTACACCACCCACCCAGTATCCCGCCATAGCAGCTCGCCAGTGGATCCCGCCGAGCATCCCGCCAGAGCAGCTCGCCAGTGGATATCCCGCCGAGCTGTTCGCCAGTGGATCCCGCCCAGTATCCCGCCAGAGCTGCTCGCCAGTGGATCCCGCCAAGTATCCCGCCAGAGCGGCTCACCAGTGGATCCCGCCAAGTATCCCGCCAGAGTGGCTGGCCAGTGGATCCCGCCGAGTATCCCGCCAGAGCGGCTCGCCAGTGGATTTCGCCGAGTATCCCGCCAGAGCAGCTGGCCAGTGGATCCCGCCCAGTATCCCGCCAGAGCTGCTGGCCAGTGGATCCCGCCAAGTATCCCGCCAGAGCGGTTCGCCAGTAGATCCCGCCGAGTATTCCGCCAGAAGCGGCTCGCCAGTGGATCCCGCCGAGTAGCCCACCAGAGCAGCCCGCCAGCGGATGCCGCCGTATCTCGCTGAGTATTCCAGAGTAGCTCGCCAGTGGATCCCGCAAAGTGTTCCGCCGAGTATCCCACCAGAGCAGCCCGCCAGTGGATCCGCCGAATATCCTGCTGAGTATCCCAGAGTAGCTTGCCAGTGGATCCCGCCGAATATCCCGCCAGAGTAGCTTGCCAGTGGATCCCGCCAAGTATCCCACCAGAGCAGCCCGCCAGTGGATCCCGCCGAGTACCCCGCTGAATATCGCAGCTCGCCAGAGGATCTTGCCGAGTATCCCGCTGAGTATCTCTTGCCGAGTATCCGGCCAGTATCGAGCCGGAGCGGCTCGCCAGCATTTGCCAGGATCCCGCCAGTATCCCGCCAGAGCAGCTCGCAGTCTGGTTTTGCTTCATGTCCAAAAGGGAGGATGGGAGTTTGGAGTCGAAGTCTCTAGGATGCGGAGGAACTTGTTGTAACGGTCGTAAGCTCGTGAGTGTGGAGGGTGGGGATTGCTCGAAGCGAAGTATTTTTTCTGAGGGTTCAAAGGAAACGAGGTTTCCAGATGAAGTAAAACCAGGGGACCACAGGTTTGGGTCCATGTTTCCACTTACGAGGGTTCCATTTTGGGTACCTATTTTTGACCCACAGCCAAATCATGGCAGAACAAATGCCACCTTGGCACATAGAACAATGAGAAAAACTGGTGAAAAATGCCATTCAAACCACTTAGTGGACTTGTGAAAAAGACATCGTTTGGCAAAAAGTGGAATCCCCAAAATGGCCCCCTTGGTAGATGGAAACAAAGACCAACTGCGCAATCCCGGCTCTTTAAGCTTGCCATACCCATTTGCCCAGCTGGATACAGAATTGAAGGGTTCCTTATAAGTTGGCTTTTCTGCAGGTTCCACTTGCGTTTGAGGGGAGGTCTGGAATCTCGGGGTTCGCTCGATAGACTCAGAATGGTCTGTGTCCTTGTGGCTCTTCCCTTAATTCAAGCAACAACCAGCCAAAGGACGGTTCACATGTTGAATGTTGAGACACCCCTACATGTATTTGGCTAGTTGTCGGTTTTGATGCCCCCCAAAACTGGTTGGTGGACATAAATCTCCGTGTAGATGATGTCCACCAAGGGTCCCCCAGATAAAACTCAGACCAATATAAGGTTCGATTCCGATATCAGACTGTGATCAATTGGGGAGGGACATTGGGGGGGGCTCGGTGTGCAAATCTCCCAGACAAGAACAACAACACACACACAGAGACACGCAGACACACAGACGCACAGACATACACACAAAGAGGCACACACGCACATACACACAACACACACACACAGACACACACAGAGACATATATATATATATATACATATTGTGCACAAGCAAACAAACAAACAAACAAGCAAGCAAGCAAGCAAGCAAGCAAACAAACAAACAAACAAACACACAAACAAACAATCAAACAAACAAACAAACAAACAAACAAACAAACACGCACACACATACACAAACAATCAACCAAACAAACAAAAACAATCAAACAAAGAAACAAACAAACACACAAAGAAACAAACAAACACGCACACACATACACAAACAATCAACCAAACAAACAAACACAATCAAGCAAAGAAACAAACAAACAAAAACAAACAAACAAACAAACAAATCAAACAACAAACAAACACACAAACACACACGCAACTACACACACACACACCTACACACACACACACACCACACACACACACACACGCACACCCACACACACACACACATTCCGATGATTTTTACGGCTCCGTGGCTCATATTCCCTGTTTGAGTTTTGATTGAATATCATGTGTTGGCCCAAAATTATTCCTGGATTAGACCTCTATTACAGCCTTACAGCATTCTTGATTTTCTAAATCGCGGCGTCTTTTTGAGAAGGATCCCGTAGAGAGTGTAGGTTACCGACATTCCCATTTGACGGCTTCAAAACATCACCTGGCCATTTCGAACTGAGCCCTGCTTAAGTGGGGCGATGTTGAGAAGGCGGGTACAGAGCCCAGTTCCCGAAAGAAACTGGGACATTACAATGAAAGTGGACATTCTGACAAGGATAAATCAAGGAACACCATGCCCTTCGCCCGCCATTCGCTCGGATCTTTCGCCTTTGACTTTTTTGAATATGTGATCACGGGTGTAACCAGCAAAAGTTAAACCCTTTTGCACAGGGTGGTAGCCAAAGAGTACCCTTTTTACCCATGGTTTGGTGAAATATTATTAGCGGGTCGCAAGGTTTGCACCATTTCCCCTTTTGACACATGTGGAGTCGCTCAACACTACTCAAGGGTAGCGGTCCGATCTTTTCATCTGAGTGATTGCTCAGTGGATGGAAGCATACCGAAAAGGGAGAAGCAATGCTACCGATTGAAAACAATGCAGTTTGTTTGAACAAGCTACAAGCGGGTTGTTTCCTGAACGTCATCGGATTTCTATGGTTGATTTGTTTTTAGGGTGTCCGTCACATCCGAAGCGGGTTGGTTTGTTTTGGCACCACCTAGTTGAGAGGTTCTGAGGCTTTGGGTTTGCATTTCGCTGTTCAGCGCCCCACGTCGACTTTCCTCTAGGTGAGATGATGGAAGGGAACTTAAGGGAATACAGACGGCCTCTTTTTTGGTGATGTGCGTTCTCGACCTTTGGCCCAATTCTGCTTGTCTTTTCTCCAGGACTCGGGTGAGGTGATGTGCAGGCGGAAACTTAGGGCACCATATTTCCCTTTTTGGTGGATTTACATATCACCTTTAGCCCGCTTTTGATTGATTTGTCTCTGGGTGGGGCGGTGTGTAGGCTGGAAGACGAGGACACCATTGTGGCTGCGCTGCGCCAGTTTTGGTTCAGCAGGTTAAAGCCATGGAATTCATTCAACAACCCTTTTGTTCTGGTCTTTGCTGTTTCAACACTCACTGTTTTTTTGTTTTACTTGTTTTTCTTTCTTTTTTAAGGTTCATCCCTTGGAACTCGCTAGCTCGCTGGCGTGAGCGAGCCAAGCTGGCTCTCTGAGGCGTGGCTTTGGTTCGAGGCTCGCAACAGCGTCCAGGACAAAGCCACCGACCTCATGCGTCCGGTTCCTGAGCATGGAAGTTCCGAGAAAAAAGGAAACAAAAGAAGAAGGAAAAAAAAGAAGGAAACAAAGAAGAAGGAAAAAAACAAAAACGGGCGGCCGAAGAATCGTGCTTGTCCTGGCCGCATCTGCCTGAAGGGAAGTTTGTCTCTCAGAGTTCTGAGAAGGTCCTTCGTTTCGCTCTCCAAACTATCGGATTTCGCCAAAGTAATGCAACCCAATGTTCCATGATTCCGGAATCCTTCCGGGCAGCTCCCCTCAACATGGGTGATCTCCCTTTGGTGTCCTAGACCAACCGCACAAACGGGCCCAGTTCAAGCCTGAGGAGATAATGCTGAATGCTTGATCAGGGACTCCTGTATTTTGGGGTTGCTGACCCATCTCTTTTGAGCAACTAGGTGTTGACTTCGCTATGGATACAACAAGCATCTCATTTTGTTGGTTGTTGCACGTCACCATTTGGACCGGGCTGATGTTGAAAGAAAACACGAGGGGCCCAGTGACATAATTGCCCTCGCCAAAAGGGAAGTAGGCCTCTAAAATGGGTTCGGCGCATATTCATGGCTCGTTGGCGGGAATCTATTCAGTGTTCCCACTTGACAAAAGCTCTCCACAAGAAGCTGACAGCCCTTCCCCGAATGGCGCTATTGGCCAAACCCTCCCAAGGTCTAGCGGTTTGGGAGCTTCTGGGGAGCTTTGGCCTTTGAGGACGTCATGGCTTGTTTCATTTGAGCGCTCAAAATAGATTTCTGTTTGCGATGTGACATAGAAAGGGCTGTGTGTACCTTTACGACCAGGCCGATAGAACAGAAAGTGAAAGGGTTTCGGGCGCTGCTCACTTTTGAAAACTGCAACTTGCCGAGCCAAAGAATGCGAGAACGCCAGAAACCTCCAGCAATGCTTGGGAAAGCCAAGCGAGCCAACGCTTTTTGGTTCACTTCTCGATGTACCAGACCCAAACCGGGAAGCACACGAATCTTTGTCAGATTGGTGTCTGGGACGTGGCTTAACCAAAAGGACAAACCTCATTTAACCCACTTGTACCGCACCGGATCCATTGTTGTTGATGGGCTAAACCTGGGCCTTGCCAAGTTTAAACGAATTTGCTCGGGTGATGTTGAAGGGGGAAGTTCAAGGCACCCGGTGGCTGAGAAAACGCGTTATTTTGCCAGTTTAACGAGGGAAGCCGAATGACTTGACCCTTGCTTTTGGAGGAGTCTTCCTTGTGTCAACTGTTGGTGTTGTCAAAATAGAGCACCCTTTAAGATGGGTGTCGTGTTTCGGTTTTCCTTTTGGCTTCCCAAACCAACTCCTCCAAGTGGTACCGAGCCTCAAAAAACACATGGGGAAGGAGTGGCTGGATGAGCTGGATGCCCATAGTGCTTTGGTCGGGACGCCCATGCCATTCAGACGATGCAGTCAGCGCGATACAATAGGAGCGTGAAAGCTTGGATCGCCTCACTTGTGACCAGTTTCCGGACTTGATCTTTGGCAAGACCATTGGCCAGGGTCATTATTTTGATGGTCTGGTCTTTCCCTTTAACCAACCACTTACAGGGTGACTTTGATCATGGTAAAGGAATGAGGCCAGATTGGACAATCTTCACTTCAGACTTTGTTTGGCCAACCCACTCAGGAGGTGAGTTGCACACTTCCCCGTGTCGGTAACTGAGGATAGACACATACCTTGGTTGAATACGGGTTGCCCGACGTGGGCATAGCTTTAGACGGGGAAGCCTCGCCCATGCAACACTTGAGTGCCCAACATGACAGCTTCCAACTACTCAGCAAACACAAAGCCACTTTTGGGCGGGTCAAAGACTGACTCGCCAGAATTCATCAAAATGACACTGAAAAGTAATAAGTCAAAATCACGTGGAGCTTTACTGACACCGTGGATTGGTGCTTTGCTTGCATCTCTTTCCAAATTCATCCTGCAATACGGAGTCCTCAGTCCTCAGTGATAACAAGCATCCAAATGATGGCGGAACCCAAAATGGGCCTCTTTCTGATATCTAACTGCAAGTCAGAGCGTACTTGTTGCACATGGGGAGCCCTTAGTGGCAAAGGAATTCGAGGCCAACTCTTTGGAATTTGAACAACACCTAAATGAGGTTTGGTCAAGCATCAAGAGTCCATGTGGGAGGGACTTCCAAGGGGTCTATGTGGCCTTTTGGGTGGCGAGAACATGTCAAGTGGTGATGGTTGAAGGGATCGCATATGCCATGGTAAGGGATGGCCATCAACCACCGGATGCTGACAACCATAGGAATTCTCATCAAGGAAACTACAGCCATGAAGCATTCGATTGTTTCGCCATCTGCTTTTTGTTCAACGCCAAACTGTTGATCTTGTGACCCAGCAGTCCCTTTTGCTTGATTCGTCAAGGCAACCCAAAAGGTTAACTAGGTCCTCAACAGCGCATGTTTTTGAGTTGTCCTTAACCGACACCGAGAGAGGGGACCCTGCTTGGCGTCTCAGCTGAAGATTCTGCGGGAGTCAAGGAGCCATAGGTTCCTTGGGTTACCAATCTCAGCGGGGGAGTCAGGGAGCCATAGGTGAATTAGGTTACTAGTGGGTAAACAGGGCAAACCATCATGTAGTGTCAAGAGGTCCAAATTCCGGTTAAGTTGATCACATAGGTTGATCCTCACCCATGGTCCAAGTACCCTATGGGAAACTGAATCAAAAAGGCAAGCAACAGGTGACTATTTTGTTTTCAGGTCTCATTGGTTCCAAAATTGCCCGGTTTCTTCAGGTCTGTTGGTCTGACTGTTTGTCAAAGTCTCAAATCATGATCTGTTCATTGGTCACTAAACACCCTCCCCCCCCCCTCCACCCCTACCCCCCTGACCCCCCTCCCCTTCCCCCCTCCCCCCCTCTTCCCCTCCCAGGTGAGCTCCCTGGCGTCGCCTTGCCGGCAAGTCGCGCTCTGGAGCTGCTGCGAAGCCCAGATCTGGGCGCGTCGAGTGGAATTTTCGGGCTGATATGGCTGTGGTTGTCAAAACCGTTTTGGTACCATTTGGGGTAGGTGAACTCACCGCCCATTTTAGTCTATTTCAGTGGAGATTGGGATGTTCACTGGGGGTACGGGCTTTTGGCCCATGGCCATGTGTTTTGTTTGTTGGTTTTATAGGGAATCTATCACTACTGGACGTAGTTTCGCATTTTTGTACAGGGGGCTTAAGCAAGCGGACGTTGGGGTCCACCAATTCGACGCCCCAACGTTGGAACCCTCAGTGGAGAGGCATTTTGCACTTGGAGAAAAAAGAACCTCTCAATATATACTCGGACAACACATACTTGGGAATCTACGTGAAATAACAAACATATATTTAAGACCGATCCCTCAACACGACCCAAGTGCTGTGTGGGTGGACAAAGTTCAACAAATGCACCACCTAACAATCAAACCCATGTGGACAAGCCGCCTAACTGCTGGATTCCCTTGGGATTTGCAAACATACGTGTGGACTACAACGAGATCTCACCGATTCGGAGCTCCACGCAGTCACAGGCATGGGAACCAACCACTTAATACATTGATCAATGGCATCACCGAAGGGAACCGGCAAACATGTTCCATCCCATGATTCCAGTTGTACTTCTCTGGTTCTTGCTAGTGATCCTTCTTGGAAGGAAAGCCAGAAGCAGGGTAAAGACGCCCCTGGTCGATCGTTTTTGTTCGGGCTTTCCCCAAAAGAAATGAACATGGGGCCATTGCCAGCTTTAGCCTCCCTGTTCAGCTTCGTTCTCTTTGTGCTTTTCATTTCGTGTGTTTGTTTGTTTTTTCCCCAGACCCCTGGCACGTGCCAGCGCTAGGCCAAACAAAAAAACACAAACCCGCCTCGTGCCCTGTCAACCAAAAGTCATGGGTGGGATCCCTTAGGCCGCAGTTGGTCGCTCGGCTGTCGTGTGTAGGTCATGTCCTCACTGCGGCCTCCACTGGTCATGCCAGGCAGGAGGATTTTGCTGGACGTTCCGACGGTTTTTGGGGTGGGTAGGGACAGGGCAAGGGGTAGGGCTGTATTGTGTCTTTAAAGAGCGGAGAAAGTCTTTTTTTTTCAGCAAAACAGCAGAGAAGCTCATCTAGAGGCAGAGGGGTTGTGGATGACAGCTGCAACTTAAGCAAATGGAAGGGGGTTGTCACTGTTGCATACAACTTGTTGGCAAAATCCTTGGCATTGTGTGCCATGTATTTTGGCTAGGACGCCAGGTTTAATCATGACTCACATGGGAATGTACCTGCGGAAAAGGCTACTGGTTGCTTCCTGTGGGCTGGGCAGGGCTCTCTTACATGCGTTGAAACCAGTCCCTGTTGTAGGACATACCCATATGGAACTCGATTTGTTTAGACTGATTTTGAACCTTCAAATATTCGACCAGCGAACCTTAGTTGCATCGCACAAAGGCAGGTCTCCTCTAGCGCACTGATCCCAGGGCCCGCATAAGCACGTTATAGTTGCTTTTTTCTTCTTTTTTTCTTCGGGCCTGACCCTTCCATCCCCCTGTGACTCCGCGCACTGAGCTGCACTGAGCGAGGCAAGCAGGCAGGCAAAGCACACAAGCAAGCGCGCAAGGAAGCAATCAAGCAAACGAACAAATGAGCAAGCAACCATGAATCCACTTTTTTGTAAGATGGCCGTGGGTCCAAATCCCGTACCCCAGTGAACATCCCAATCCCCACTAAACTAGACTAGAATGGGTGGTGCACCTACCCCAAAATGGTGCCATTGGTTTTGACCCACAGCCAGATAGCCTCCTCTGATGTTCCAAATGTCCTTCTTGCCTTGGCAAGGCTCTTGCGAGATCCGTCTTGGGCTCTTGGAGCTCGAGCCAGGTTTCTCCCAGATTGTCTGAGGCACATGCGACGGACACCGACCTCCTCCGATTGCACGGCACCACCACGACTATTGTCTTTGCTGGATCCTAAGTTCTTAGCCCCTCTGTGCTGGCTATGTATGCTGGCAAGTATTCGATCTCCCACAACCTGCAGAAGACTCAATGCTTCTTTGATCATAAATGAAGATCCACATAGGCAGCAGTCTAAAGGCTCCCCTCCAAATGTCAAAATGGTAGACTGACGGCAAACGACCTCATCTTTTGTCTTTGACAGCTAGGCCAGGATAGAGCCAAAACACAAGCCTACGTCTTTACATGGCGTGAATGGGGTCAGTCTTCTACCCTCCAAGTGGGAGTGCGGCCATTGTATCCTAGTCTGTGGCCGGGAAATACAACCAAAGTATTTTGCCGCCTTGCTACTGCATGTTTACATCAAGTTAATTTGCAGACGAAGCTCGAATTTTTGATGGAGACTGCAGCATCTCACTACCATCTATTTTCTGTCGCCATCTTTGTTCTCGTTGCTTTTCTGTTTCCTTTTGGTTACCCTTGGCTGGAACCGCTGGGTTCAGGAACGCCAAGGCCTTTGCCAAGGACTGTCGGGGGCCGGGGATGTGAGCCTCTGTTAGTTCCCTTTGACGCCATCGCATGAGGCTCTGACAAGATTCCGGGTTTGGGGAGGGCGAGAAAGGGGGGACAGCCCCTCTTAGCACCCACGATGCTGATCCTGAGTCGAATTGTTAGGCCCCCACCTTGAATCAAGTCACCATTCATTATTGGGAAATCCCTCCCAGGTCCCCAAAAAGGTAGCCACCTTTGTGTTGGGTTTGCATGTTGTTCTCTTTCAAACAATAAAAAGGGGGGATTCTCCATTTCTAACCTACCCAAATGCAAAAGTGCCTCTTAAAGAAGCCAATTAGGATACGCTGCTGGAGGTTGTGGAAAATGGTCGGGCCGGTGTAGTTCAACTTGGACAAGTCCTGACCGACTTGCCCCTCCCACCCAACACTGAACCCAGCGGAAGGTCCCTGGAAAAGCAACATGGTCTTCCAGAACCCTGCTTTCATCAGCTTATATGTGGGTTGGAGGGTATTCTCGACGACTGGATTTCAGTATCACAGATGTCGGGTCCATCCAGCCTGATGCTCGCAACCCTCATTTCGTTGCGTGCACGTCCCCCTTTCACCATGACCGGGTGGTGAACCTTTGCCCTTTGATCTCTTGCAAGCAATCAGATCTCAGGCAATACTTGTCTTGGTGGCTCCCGAAGGCCATCCGGTTCCTTAGCTTCTTAGCCTGTTAGTGTTTAGTGGTAGTTTCCATTTAACCCACTAAAAGTTAAACTTTAGCGGGGGATCTGAGGGCAACCCAGTTGCTCCAGGGAACATCCGCTTAGCTACCACGGGGGGAGGACTTTGGCTTAAGACTTGCAAGGGGCATGCAGATCGAGATTTCCGCGTAACGAACCTGGATCCAAATTGCCAAGCTCAGAGTCCCCAGCTTAGGTAACAAATGGTTCCGAAGCAAGATTGTGGTTGACCACTCGGGGTTTATCCAACCACTTCGGTGAAATTGTCGGGAATCTCCCCCTCTATATGGGCGCTTAGTCTTTCGGAAGCGCTTTTGCATCAGAGGAGTGGATTCCAATTCCCACAGCTGTTCCAAAGTGCACGCCAAGAGGGCAAGGGAATCTCCCCCTTATGGGGGGCTGAGCCTTTGGGAAGCTCTTTTGTATCAGAGAAATGGATTCCATTTCCCACGGCTCCTGTTCCAAAGTGCACGCTAAAAGGGTGGCTAAATCCCCCAGTAGTGCCCACCCCTTTTTTGGGAAGGGTTCCCCCACTAAAATAGACGACAGAAAAAGGAAACGGTATTATTCCAACCTCTCTACTGGAGGACCTAGTTGGGTCCCCCGCTTGCAGGCGGGTGCGGATCTGGCCCTGCGATCGCTGGCGGGGCGCTATGCCCAGGACGGCGAGGCAAATCGTCAGATTTGTTTCGGCGGAAACCCCCGGCCCCCAACCCCCAACACTTCCCGACTTCCCCAAGAACGAAAGAAGTGGTTTTGGGTTGTTGGTAGTTGTTGGCTAAAAACAACCCAAAACAGGGAAGGATAAGAAGAAGAAGACGAAGAAGAAGAAGACCACACATGCTTTGCCATCGCCACCCGATGTTGAAAGGCGATGGCTGTCTTCAAAGGTAAGAAGTCATAAAGCCCCGAAACACCAAATGTCCGCAATGAAGCCGAGGCTGCTGGGAAAACATTTTTGGACACCCCCACACAGATTCGCCTGCCAGCTCCATAGAATTTTCACCTTTCAGAGCAAACTTTGAGACTGAGTTTCTTGCTGGAAAGGTACAGATGATGTATTTAGGTGGTCAAGTATAGGTACCCAAATGGACCCCTGACAAATGGAAAGCATGGGATAACACTTTCGGTCCCCTGGTTTAATTTTGACCCATACCCATTTAACTCTGAAAGTGGCCTTCACGTGGCCAAATCCATCAAGATCCGACTCCGGCCATAAATCGCGGATGGAACCCCCCATCCTTTGGGTGGGGAACAACTATCACTTGTGTATTTCCAAATAATTAGTTGTCTACCCCTATTTGGCTTGGCTGGAACCCCTGATGTCTGTTGGAACATCGATTGTTGTGAGGATCTATCAGGAGAGCTCCGTGTTGTCCATTTGGACCCAAAAAGGGATCCTTTGAGGAACGAAGCAGAACAAGCTCTCGAAATGGGACAGGTGAGAGTCTGCCAAAGGTGTTGCCAGTTTCGCAATTTCGAGCCGCAGTTGATAAAACATAGGGTACATGCCTCGGCATCACCAGGCACCACCCACCCAGGCTCTGGTATGTGGGCGGCCATGGGGCCCATGTCCATAGGCTCTTCAAAGCACCCGACACAGTGCGGTGTTTGAGCATACCTCCAATGGGTGTTTTGGAGCTTGGTGGTTTGGTGGCTAAGGAGGGGTTTCGCATTCATCTACAAAAGCCGCCAATCCAAATCACCAACTAAGGGTTACCTGAGTCTTCAAAGGATCTTTCACTTTGCACCATCCTCAAGGTGAGTGGATCCCAAGCCCAGATAGGTCACCCACTATGTTCCTTGTTTTTTTCAAGTGTGTGGTTCAAGCCCTTGGTCCCTTCCATTGCTTAATAAGAGTTTATATTGTCCCTGGTTGGTTTTAAAGGGAATCTATCACCACTGGAAGTATCTTTTTTTCCAGGGGGCGAAAATGCAAATGGAAGGTTACCTACAAAACCCAGGTACATGGATCCACCATCCCGCCTCCCTTCTCCAGGTCGCAGCAGCGGTGACCAGCGCCTTTGGGACCTATCTGCCGCTGAGCCGGGCGTGAAAAGGAGCCGCGCCGAGCGACGCATCAACGGGGTCGGGCTGCGCTTTGGGCCTTGAGACCTGTCGCCTTTGTTGCAGCCTCGAACATGGAACCGGGTTGCAAAAGCCTGGGAGTCCTTGGACAGTTTTGGTTAATGCAAACCGCTGTCTCCTTCAGCTCCCTTGCCCACGTGAAGCTTCGGCCTGACGGGTTTGGGAATGCTCCCTCACCCAGCCGCTTGCATGTTGTGTTTGAAGAAGACGCCGTGGAAGCACCAAGCTGATCCTCCCCATTTTGCGAGCCTCATGAAAAACGAAGTGACCAACTTGATCGGACGCCAGGGTGTTTTTCTCAAAGTGGGCGACCCCTTTGGATGGTGCTTCAAAGCAACAAATCGAACCAAAGCCATCGTCAGGGGCCCATGTTGTGTCCGTGGCTTTCTGTAGCAGTCGGCTTTGCATTTGAGTGCAGCCTTCAGCTCAGCAGAGTTACCATGATAGTGCCGGCCCCAAAAGGTGAACCTACTGTGGATGGACAAAATCCTGCACCATGTGAGACAATATGGGAAACCATTGTTTGTTGGTATTTACAGGGAAATCATCATTCCAGGGGTTCCTAGGTGGTGCAGGATTTTGTACATCCACAGTATTGTTTCACCATTTTCATTTTCTCCCAACTGTCGATCTCCTAAACTTTGTAAAGCAGGGAAGCCAGTCGCGACGTCCAGCACAAGATGCCCAGCTATCCAGTGGCACCCGTTTCCCTGTTTACCCTTCAATCATGGAAGCTGAGAAGAGGGCTTGAATGACTACAGTCCTCTTGAAGATGCCTCATGTCCACTTCCATGATGGGTTGACTTCCCGCATTCTGGACAGAATCTTGGACCTTTGGCCAATCATTCCTCTCGAGTTAAATACATGGGATGACCCCTAAACAGATGATACTTCAACTACTGAATGGGAGTTCGCCATGGTCATAACTGGGGGGGCCAAAATGGAATATTGATCAACCCCCCATGTGGACATTCGGGGTGCCTGCGAGTGGTTGAGCCGAGCTCGTGCAGCGATTTTCTTTGCCCGACGGTGCAGCTGCGCGCTTGAGTTGTGGCCATGGCTCGTCGGCTAGAAGCTCAGGATGGCGCCGTCCCAGGTCTCCCAGTTGCCCAGCGGGGTGCTTCCTTTGTTCAACTTGTTCTTGGGAAGGGTTCACCTTTAAACTCCACCAACCAAAAAGGGGGTGCATGTTTTTTAACCAACGCCTGGGCATCTGAGTGAAGGAGGCCGATTTGGTCTCTCAAAAGCGGCAGCAGCAGATCTGTGCGCATCCGAAAGGAACACAGTTGGCCGAAGGATCCCGGCCAAAAGATCAACCGGAGTTTTCTTGTCTCAGTCCTGAGTTACCATTAGCTGCATTCCACTGGGTTTTTAGTCGTGTTTGGAGCTGAAGGTGTCCCTTCAGTTCGTTTGGTTTAGGTTTGGCTACTTCCCAGTTGGAGGAGGCAAACGCTAAATGCATTATTTGATCCGGTCATTTGGTTTGTCCCTTCTTGAGGCTCAGTATTCCTCTTGGAGTGGCTTTAGGTAGTAGCAACTATTTTTTCTTTGTGCTGAAGCTGTCTCACTGGGTCGCAAGGGATGGCATCTTGAGGGGTTTCTCAAAAGCATGGCTTTGGGGGCTTGCTTTTGCCTCTTGATTTATGCTCATTTTGAGGATGCAACTACACTGGAGCAGCTTTTTCCTGCACAAGGAGGTGGATATGGCATTGTTTTTCCAAATATGGACCCTGTATGGATGGCGTGTAGTTGTCAAAAGCTACCAGCATGGCTGTTGTTGGGAAACATTTTACATTTGTGCTTATTGTGGTTTAGTGGGACACCCCCACTTAACTGCTAAAGTTTATTTTTGTTGCTCCCCTTCCAACGTCAACCAAGCCAGCAAGTGAAGAGATCGAGCCATTCAAACCTTCGGCCCCCAACTCGTCTCCAACAACCGCCGCGCTGAGGTGCAGGACCCTCGGCGCCTGCCTCCTGGCGGCGTTCGGTGTCCTGAGCTGCTTCGTGAGCTTCCCGGCGCGGGCTTCGGTTCGGTCGGGGGAAGCTTCGCTTTGGCGCAGTTCGCCAAGGGATGTTCGGACTGGAACTTTTGGCCAACTAATGGGTTTTCCGAATTAAACCACCAAAGGTTAAAAACTTTCTAGCTCTTTGCCAACTAATGGGTTTTCCGAATTAAACCACTAAAGGTTAAAAGCTTTCTAGCTCTTTGCCAACTATTGGGTTTTCCGAATTAAACCACTAAAGGTTAAAAGCTTTCTAGCTCTTTGCCAACTATTGGGTTTTCCGAATTAAACCACTAAAGGTTAAAAGCTTTCTAGCTCTTTGCCAACTATTGGGTTTTCCGAATTAAACCACCAAAGGTTAAAAGCTTTCTAGCTCTTTGCCAACTATTGGGTTTTCCGAATTAAACCACTAAAGGTTAAAAGCTTTCTAGCTCTTTGCCAACTATGGGTTTTCCGAATTAAACCACCAAAGGTTAAAAACTTTCTAGCTCTTTGCCAACTAATGGGTTTTCCGAATTAAACCACCAAAGGTTAAAAACTTTCTAGCTCTTTGCCAACTAATGGGTTTTCCGAATTAAACCACCAAAGGTTAAAAGCTTTCTAGCTCTTTGCCAACTATTGGGTTTTCCGAATTAAACCACTAAAGGTTAAAAGCTTTCTAGCTCTTTGCCAACTATTGGGTTTTCCGAATTAAACCACTAAAGGTTAAAAGCTTTCTAGCTCTTTGCCAACTATTGGGTTTTCCGAATTAAACCACCAAAGGTTAAAAGCTTTCTAGCTCTTTGCCAACTATTGGGTTTTCCGAATTAAACCACTAAAGGTTAAAAGCTTTCTAGCTCTTTGCCAACTATTGGGTTTTCCGAATTAAACCACCAAAGGTTAAAAACTTTCTAGCTGTTTGCCAACTAATGGTTTTCCGAATTAAACCACCAAAGGTTAAAACTTTCTAGCTCTTTGCCAACTAATGGGTTTTCCGCATTAAACCACCAAAGGTTAAAAACTTTCTAGCTCTTTGCCAACTAATGGGTTTTCCGAATTAAACCACTAAAGGTTAAAAGCTTTCTAGCTCTTTGCCAACTATTGGGTTTTCCGAATTAAACCACTAAAGGTTCAACTTTTTCTAGCTTGTTTGGCAAACTAATTGGGTTGTTTTCGAATTAAACCACTAAAAGTAAAAAACGTTCTTTTTTTTTTTTTTTTGAGTATTGCTGTTTGCCACTAAGGGGTTTTCCGAAATTAACCACTCAAAGGTAAAAGCTTTCTAGCTCTTTGCCAACTCTTGGGTTTTCCGAATTAAACCACTAAAGGTTAAAAGCTTTCTAGCTCTTTGCCAACTATTGGGTTTTCCGAATTAAACCACCAAAGGTTAAAATCTTTCTAGCTCTTTGCCAACTAATGGGTTTTCCGAATTAAACCACCAAAGGTTAAAAACTTTCTAGCTCTTTGCCAACTAATGGGTTTTCCGAATTAAACCACTAAAGGTTAAAAGCTTTCTAGCTCTTTGCCAACTATTGGGTTTTCCGAATTAAACCACTAAAGGTTAAACACTTCCTAGCTGTTTGCCAACTAATGGGTTTTC